ATATGTATATTTATACTTACTGTAAAATTAGATTTGGTGCTAAGTAGGAATGAAATGTCTCTTCCAGAGGTCAGCCAGCCTTTAGAACAACCCGACTGAGAGCCAGTTCTCCAAGCTCAGGTAGGAGCAGCACTTTAAACCCAAGGCCTCAGGCTCCTACAGCAACACAGAGCCAGCTGTCAGGTGTCCTGTGTCCTTAGCTCTGTACCTGAGCCTCTCCTTGTTCACCCAGCCCGTCTACAGTGCTGGGTCTGTGTCTAATAAATGGAACAAATGTTGTTTCAATAAAATAACACCTTGCTGTGGAGTTGTGAGCGTGTTCACAGGGGTCTGAGGATGAGGGAAGAGACAAGGATCTGACTCCATGTTTCAGAAGGCTGATTTATTATTTTATGATATATATTATATTAAAACTATACTAAAAGAATAGAAGAAAGGATTTCCTCAGAAGGCTGGCTAAGAATAGAGAAAGAATGAATAACAAAGGCTTGTATCTCAGAGAGTCCGAACCAGCTGGGCTGTGATTGGCCATTAATTAGAAACAACCACATGAGCCCAATCCCAGATGCACCTGTTGCATTCCACAGCAGCAGATAACCATTGCTTACATTTTGTTCCTGAGGCCTCTCAGCTTCTCGGGAGGAAAAATCCTAAGGAAAGGATTTTCCATAAAAGATGTCTGCGACATGGAGTCACTGCTGCCTCTTAGCGCCACAGTGAGGAAAGGAGGCGTCTCCTCCCGCCTGCTGTTCCAGCCCGGGACTGCTCCACTCCCAAACCCGCCTGGCTTTCTCTGGCAGCCTTTGGAAGCCCGGGGAGGTTTGGGGTGAAATGATCAGGGAACGGCTCCTTCATTTGCCAGCCGGCCCGGAGAGCTCCCTGCCCCATCCGAGCACGGAGCTGTGCCGGCTCCCAGGGCTCAGCCCTGCTCCGGGCGGAGGGAGAGGAGGAGGCTGGACGGGATGAAGGCAGAGCCAGCCAGCGCCGGCTGCCGAGGCAGCAGCGCATTCCTCGGCTGAGAAGTTTCACAGATGGAGAGAGCAGAGGGGCTGGCAGGGAGCCCTGGCATCACCTGGGCACTGCCCTGCTGTGGGTGGGCTCTGGGTGGGCTCTGGTGCCTCCCACGTCCCCATCCTCCAGCCTTGCACCACCACATCACACTGGTGTTTGTGTGAGAGATCATGTGTCCGTTTGCCTCCTGTGTTTTCAATTTAGAAAGATCTGGAAGCTGGGGCTCTCTTCCTTGGATGTCCTGCAGTGAGCACCAGCCCCGTGTTCAGCCTGAAGCGGGCACAGGCTGTGCCAGCCTCCCTCCTCCCAGGGGAGCCCACCCTGGGGCGGGCAGAGGCAAGAAAGACCCTTTCCACACTTCTGAACAAACCCATTTTCAGACCAGAAAACCAGACAGCTTTTTTCCTCAGCCTCACAGGTCGCTGCTGCCTTGGGGAGGCTCTTGGGGACATGGCCACTCTCAGCTCTGCCTGGCATGTGGGGACCCCGGGCACCTTCCCAGGACCCCGTACCCTGCAGGCACGCAGGGGGGAGAGGCAGCGATTCTGCTGCATGACCTTCTGAGCGAGGGGAGGAAACGACCCCCGTGGAGCCCCATAAATCACGGGGTTCTGTTCTGCAGCGCCGGGCAAACGAAACGCTGAGGAGATCCAAGGCCGTGTGTGCTTTGGCGTGGGGAGAGCTTTTCCAGCCGCGCCGGTGCCAAACACCTTCCAGTCTCCCCTCAGCCTGCACAAGCAGCTCCTCGGCTGTTTATCCTTCCCCTGGGCATCCTCACACTCTTTCTGCTCCAGCCCCGAGCCGGGTGTTGTGGCGCCCGTGTCCGTCCCAGCACTGTTTTGTGGAGATAAACAAAACTCCACAACTTTTGTGAAAGTTGTAAAGCTGGTATGTTTATTACAGCTTTGTTACAGCGCTGGATGCATGTGGGAATCATGACATGCATACCTCTGGGAACTCCGGATCCCCTCTTATCCCCCTCTCAAATACATATGCATGCAATTTCACCATAGGTTCATACATATTCATTCCCCTGATTCCGAGTGACACTTGCCACTAATTGTGACCGCATTCACGGGGTCTTAGGATGAGGGAAGAGACGAGGATCTGACTCCATGTTTCAGAAGGCTTGATTTATTATTTTATGATATATATTATATTAAAACTATACTAAAAGAATAGAAGAAAAGCTTTCATCAGAAGGCTGGCTAAGAATAGAAAAAGAAGGAATGATGACAAAGGTTTGTTGCTTGGACAGAAAGTCCGAGCCAGCTGACTGTGATTGGCCATTAATTAGAAACAACCACATGAGCCCAATCCCAGATGCACCTGTTGCATTCCACAGCAGCAGATAACCATTGGTTACATTTTGTTCCTGAGGCCTCTCAGCTTCTCAGGAGGAAAAGTCCTAAGGAAAGGATTTTTCATAAAAGATGTCTGTGACAATTAATTCTTCAGAGAGAACTCCTGGGCCAGGTTGCCCTGCTCTGTCTGCCCCCCTCCTCCCCCCTTATATCTTGTCCTTCAGCCCTTCTAGAGAACAGGCACTCAGACTAAACAGCAAGCTACAGACTTAACTCAAAGATGTACGTTCCACCCAAATCAAAATGGATTTCTACCCTGGAAAATTTCCACTCTGCCTCAGCACCTTGCCCTGGAGCCGGGGATTTCAGCTGGATGCTGCTCCTGTGGCAGCGCCAGCCCCGGGCCTTGCGTCAGCCTCTTCCCCTGAAAGCTGCTGGGAAAAGATGCCCCGGTCAGCACTTTTGGAGGAGATTAGTATTCAGAGGGAAAAGCGGTGATTTAGTGCGGCCCAAGCACAACAAAGGCTGGGATTTACAGCTCCCGGATCCCAGCAGCACATTCCTGCAGCCCTTCTGCCTCTGCTATAAACGTGTAACAAAGGAGATGGAGCCTGAACTCGAGCGGGGCAAGGGCTCCGTGGTCAAATCTTGCTTGGAGCGGGATGGGCTGCAGGTGGCAAGGTCCCCAAGGTGTCCCTAGGGATGGTCCCATCCTGCTTCTCCTCGTGGTGCCCAGGACAGGGGGGTTTGGGAGAGCTGCAGCTGCACACATCTGGCTCTGCTTGGCTCTGGGGGCTGGAGCTGCACCCTGGGCTCCTGCTGACCCCACAGCTGGGTGGGACACGGGGGATGCAGGGTGGCTGAGGGGGCTTGGGGATCACTTCCCACACCCACTGAGCCGTGGGACCTGCCCCGAGGAGCGATGGCACAGGAGGTTCCTGCACGGCCGGCAGGGGCACAAAGCCCAGCTGAGCGCTGGCAGAGCAGCCACGTCCTGGGCTGGGGCCAGGAGATTGTCCCGGCCCTGCACAGCCCGAGGGCTTTAAAAGGAGAGAACGAGGAAGGCGAGGAGCGGAGAGGACAAAGGATGCTGTGAGAGCCAAGCCCTCAGCAGCACCGATGCCCAGCACACCCCACCCGCTCAGGGGCTCCTGAGGGCAGCACCTTCAGCTCCTTTATGGCCCTGGAGCCATTTCCCAAGGGATCCTGCCCCATCTCCCTCCTGAGCAGAGGCCTTGGTGCTGGGCAGAGCTGGAGGGGCTGCAGGGGCCCAGCTGGGCAGGGGGGGTGCTCTGGTCCTGCAGCTTTTGGGGTATCCCCATCTCCCAGATTGCCCACATGGAGAGGATGGCATAGCAGGAAGAACAGAGGAGCTGAATCTTCCTGCTGGGCTCCAGCATTCAGGCAGCCCTGTGCCATCAGCCTCTGTCACCCTGGGGACCCCCCATGCTGTGTCCCCATGGAATTCAGGGGGCACCCAGATGCATGTGCCCCTTCCCCAGCCTGCCAGGGAGCACCAGGTGGGTGGTTTCTAATGGTCACCAGCAAGGGCAGCACCCCAGGGACCCTCCATGTGTCCCCACAGAGTGCAGGGGGCACCCCAGGGACCCCCCATGCTGTGTCCCCATGGAGTGCAGGGGGCACCCAGATGCATGTGCCCCTTCCCCAGCCCTGCAGGGAGCACCAGGTGGGTGGTTTTTGCTGGGCACCAGCCAGGGCAGCACCCTGGGACCCTCCATGCTGTGTCCCCATGTCCCCACAGAGTGCAGGGGACACCCCAGGGACCCCCCATGCTGTGTCCCCATGGAATACAGGGGGCACCCAGATGCATGTGCCCCTTCTCCAGCCCTGCAGGGAGCACCAGGTGGGTGGTTTTTGCTGGGCACCAGCCAGGGCAGCACCCTGGGACCCTCCATGCTGTGTCCCCATGTCCCCACAGAGTGCAGGGGACACCCCAGGGACCCCCCATGCTGTGTCCCCATGGAATACAGGGGGCACCCAGCTGTACATGGCCCTTCCCCAGCCCAGCCAGGCAGCACCAGCAGCTCTGCTGCAGCTGCTCTGCTTATTATCATATTTAATTGCCCTCCTGGTAACCCCAGGAAATGAGCAGGAGCCGGTGAGAGCCGCAGTTTGGGATGATGTAAACGCCAACTCCAGCTCTCCCTGTGCCAAGAGAGCTGTGATTTATGGAGCCCCCCAGCCCGGCCCCCAGCCTGGGCTGCCACTTTAATCCAGGCCCGCAAATTCAACATAAATCACTTGATTAAAAGCTCTACTTAATTTAAAGGGGGTGGGGGGTGGGCAGAGTGCAGCTGATCGATTTAATTTACACCGGGAAACAGCAACAAGCAGACACATTTAAAAAGGTTTAAAAAGGCCAGGGAGGCCCCGGTGATGCTGCAGCTGCTTCAGCTGCCTCAGTTTAACCATTTAAAGGCTCTGGAGGGGCTGGCAGCCCCTCTCACCCTCCCTCCATGCATGGCCAGCCACCTCCCACACCCTATCCAGGCCCATGTGGAGTGCAGGGTGCTGGAAGATTTTTATGGGAAGCGCTGGAGCCGTGAAAAACAGAATTCCCCCAAAAGCAGCTGAGCATCACCTTCCCAAAGTGCTGCCTGGATGAGCTGGAGCACCCAGAGTCCCCTCCCCATCACCCCCCTCCCCACCCAAGGGAGATGTAAGGGTGGTTAAAGTCTTTTAATAATTACAAGAATTCCAGAATTTCATTACAGGAAGAGTTTACAACAAATAATATTTCTCCGTACAAAGGCAAAATAAAACTTTTCAAGTAACAGCGGCCTGGCACCGGCGGCAGGGAGGGGTGGGAGGGAGGATTTCAGGGAGTGCCCTGTCTGTCTGTCTGTCTGTCCGTGGGACTGCAGGGGGAGCACAGAGCTGGGGTGAGGATGTGAGGATGTGAGGATGTGAGGATGAGGATGCAAGGATGTGAGGATGCTCCCCCCTCCCAGGTAAGGCACTGGTGGGGTTGGCACCGAGCTGGGCACTGCCCGGAGCTCCCCCCAGGGCAGGGGATGGGGGGCAAGGGCAGCCCCCTCCTTCCTTCCCTCCTTCCCTCCCTCCCTCCCTCCCCGGGGCCAGGGCAAGGCCAGGCACGTAATGACAATGGATTCCCAAAAGGCATCATCGACACATTATTATTATTCTTCTTATTATTGTTGTTTAATACAACCCCATATAAAACTGAAGCAGCAGCAGCAAATTCTTATCGAGGGGACCTAAACTGAAATAGGTTTAGAACATAATTTAAAAAAATAAAACCAGCAAAAATAGCAAAATATATGACTTTTTTTTTTTTTTTTATATATAGCAACTGATATCTACCAGCCACTAGTACCTTCCTACCAAACTGGTATATCTCTGGTAACAACCCTTTTTAAAAAGACATGTAAATATATATTCATATTTATACATATTTTTTGTTATGTACATGGGACTCTGGGTTTAGCACAGGTGGGTTCAGTCACCTCTGAGCAGTGCAGGGCTCCTACCCTGGGTGTGCCAGGCCTGGCTCAGCAAAGCCCACGTGTGCTGGTCCTGTGGCCTGGGGGCATCCTGGGCAGGAGGGAGCCCCACACCACGAGGGTCCTGGCGTGCTGAGGGTCCCAGTGAGCCTCCTGGCACACCAGTGATGGTTACAGAACACCAGTGAGGCTCCTGGCACACCAGTGATGGTTACAGAACACCAGTGGGGCTCCTGGCACACCAGTGATGGTTACAGAACACCAGGGAGGCTCCTGGCACACCAGTGATGGTTACAGAACACCAGGGAGGCTCCTGGCACACCAGTGATGGTTACAGAACACCAGTGGGGCTCCTGGCACACCAGTGATGGTTACAGAACACCAGGGAGGCTCCTGGCACACCAGTGATGGTTACAGAACACCAGGGGGGCTCCTGGCACACCAGTGATGGTTACAGAACACCAGGGAGGCTCCTGGCACACCAGGGAGAGTCCTGGCACACCAGTCAGGGTCACAAAATACCAATGAGGCTCCCGGCACACCAGTGAGGCTCCCAGCACACCAATGAGGGTCCTGGCACATTGGTGAGGCTCCTGGCACATCAGTGATGGTTACAGAACACCAGTGATGGTCCTGGCACACCAGTGATGCTTACAGAACACCAGTGGGGCTCCTGGCACACCAGGGAGAGTCCTGGCACACCAGTCAGGATCACAAAATACCAATGAAGCTCATGGCACACCAGTGAGGCTCCCAGAACACCAGTGAGGTTCCTGGCACATCGGTGAGGCTCCTGGCACACCAGTGAGGCTCCCAGCACACCAGGGAGGCTTCTGGTGCACCTGTGATGGTTACAGAACACCAATGAGGCTACTGGCACACCAAGGAGGCTCCCAGCACACCAGTGAGGGTCCTGGCACACCAGTGAGGGTCCTGGCACACCAGTGATGGTTACAGAACACCAGTGAGGCTCCTGGCACACCAGTCAGGGTCCTGGCACTCCAGTGAGGCTCCTGGCACACCAGTGAGGCTCCTGGCACACCAGTGAGGCTCCCAGCACACCACTGAGGCTCCTGGCACACCAGTGATGGTTACAGAACACCAGTGAGGTTCCTGGCACACCAGTCAGGGTCCTGGCACACCAGTGAGACTCCCAGCACACCACTGAGGCTCCTGGCACACCAAGGCTCCCCCCTTGTGCAGCTGCAGGAGCTGGGTGCTGCTCCCAGCTCACCAGGTTCTCCTGGGGGCACACCAGCCCAGCTCCTGTGCCTGACCAGGCTGTGCCACCCCAGGATGCCTGGCTGGGCTCTTTGGCCACGCATTGCCCACGGGAGAGGATTTCAGCTCAGCCAAGGGGGAACTCTCCAGCACAGAACTGACGGAAAAGAGGTTTAAAAACAGGAGGAAAGGCCACGGAAACCCTGGAGCCTTTGGGCTGTGCAGAGCTGACACGAGAGGCAGGAGGAGCTGGGTGGTTTTGGTTATGTTGAGATGCTACAGATGTCTCTGAACCCTTTCTGCACCAGCCGAGCACAACCAGGCTGTGCAGGCAGCGTCCACGGGCACGGCCCGGCGGGGCAGCCCTGGCAGTGCCACCCTCAGTGTCGCTTCAGTCCACCATTGCTGTGCTGAGGGGGGAGCTTGGGGAGGCAGGGCTCATCCGGGAGCGGGTCGTGGGAGAACACCGAGTCCTCTCCCGAGGAGCAGGTGGAGCTGCGCGTGTCCGGGAAGCCGGGGGAGTACTGGTCCAGAGGCATGGACAGGTCCAGGTACTCCTGGAGGGACAAACCCCAGTCACAGCTCAGCAGGGGACAGGGCAGAGCCTCACGCAGGTGCCACCAGTGCCACCTCTCCTACTGACCCCAGGGGAGTACTGGTCCAGAGGCATGGACAGGTCCAGGTACTCCTGACAGGGACAGAACCCAGTGACAGGCTCAGGAAAGGACAAAGCAGCCCCCAGGGAGAGCCTCACCCAGGTGCCACCAGTGCCACCTCTCCTACAGACCCTGGGAAGCCATGGACAGGTCCAGGTACTCCTGGAGGGACAAACCCCAGTGCCAGGCTCAGCAGGGGACAGGGCAGAGCCTCACCCAGGTGCCACTTCTCCTACTGAGCCCAGGAACCAGGGGAGTACTGATCCAGAGGCATGGACAAACTCCTGGCAGGGACAAACCCCAGTGCCAGGCTCAGGAAAGGACAAAGCAGCCCCCAAGGAGAGCCTCACCCAGGTGCCACCAGTGCCACCTCTCCTACTGACCCTGATCCTACTCCTGGCAGGGACAAACCCCAGTGCCAGGCTCAGGAAGGGACAGGGCAGAGCCTCACCCAGGTGCCACCAGTGCCACCTCTCCTACTGACCCTGGGAAGCCATGGACACGTCCAGGTACTCCTGGCAGGGACAAACCCCAGTGCCAGGCTCAGGAGGGGACAGGGCAGAGCCTCACGTAGGTGCCACCTCTCCTACTGAGCCCAGGAACCAGGGGAGTACTGATCCAGAGGCATGGACAAACTCCTGGCAGGGACAAACCCCAGTGCCAGGCTCAGGAAAGGACAAAGCAGCCCCCAGGGAGAGCCTCACCCAGGTGCCACCAGTGCCACCTCTCCTACTGACCCTGATCCTACTCCTGGAGGGACAAACCCCAGTGACAGACCCAGGAGGGGACAGGGCAGAGCCTCACCCAGGTGCCACCACTGCCACCTCTCCTACTGACCCTGATCCTACTCCTGGAGGGACAAACCCCAGTGACAGACCCAGGAGGGGACAGGGCAGAGCCTCACCCAGGTGCCACCAGTGCCACCTCTCCTACTGACCCTGATCCTACTCCTGGCAGGGACAAACCCCAGTGACAGGCTCAGAAAGGGACAGGGCAGAGCCTCACGTAGGTGCCACTTCTCCTACTGAGCCCAGGAACCAGGGGAGTACTGATCCAGAGGCATGGACAGGTCCAGGGACAAACCCCAGTGCCAGGCTCAGGAAGGGACAGGGCAGAGCCTCATGCAGGTGCCACCAGTGCCACCTCTCCTACTGACCCTGGGAAGCCATGGACACGTCCAGGTACTCCTGGCAGTGACAGGTTCAGGAGGGGACAGGGCAGCCCCCAGGGAGAGCCCCTCAGCCAGGTGCCACCTCTCCTACCTGGTTGGAGGTCATGGCCACGATCCTGTCCAGGTCTTCCACCAGCTGCTTGAAGGTGGGTCTCTGGGAAGGGACGGCGTGCCAGCAATCCCTCATCATCATGTACCTGTGAGGGCAGGCCAGGAAGGGGCTCAGCCTGGGGACCCTGACCCACAGGAGCAGAGAAGCACCAGGAATGTGTGCCCGGTGTCCCTGTGCCCAGGCTGGACCCATGGCCAGGGCAGATGCTACTCCAGGGTGATCCCCCATGTGCAAGGAAGGGAAACTCTCCTGCCTGCCCTCACCACCCAGGGCAGAGGATGGACACAGTCTGGGCTGCTCCCTGTGCCGGGATTCCCTCCTGTCCAGGGAGATGCTCATTATTGCAAATCTGTTTGATGGTTTTGCAGGGCTGGGACTGTAACTCCAAACATCTGCCTGCCACCCTCCATGGCCCAGCCCACGCTCTGCACCCAGCAATGGCACTCAGAGACTTCAAACCCCTCTTCCCCATGCCACTCACAGCTCGTTGGTGCAGTTGCTGGGCTTGTCCATCCTGTGACCTTCCTTCAGCAGCTTGAAGAGCTCCTCAACGGGCACACCAGGGTAGGGTGACCCACCCAGTGTGAAAATCTCCCACAGCAGCACCCCAAAGGACCACCTGGGAACACAGGGCAGATGCTGAGGGACCAGGGTGCTGACACCCTGCTGGGCCCCAGTGAGAGGCTGGTTTGCTGGGAGGAACAGCACCCACAGCATCGATTTGCTCTGCAGGATAAATGAGTCCCAGCACCAAACACAATCTGGATTCAAAACGTTTGGTTGGCTGGCGCCAATTGTAATTTCATTAAACCAAGGCAAATCCCATCCATGCATGTCTCCAGCAGCCCCTACTCACACATCACTCTGGTGGGTGTAGATTCTGTCAAAGAGAGCCTCGGGGGCCATCCACTTCACTGGCAGGCGACCCTGGAGCACAAAACCCACAGTGGCTGTGAGGGAACCTGAGCCCTGCACGCCTGGGGCATTCCCAGCACCGACTGGAGCCTCCCCACCCTGCAGAACCCCTGGCACAGCACTCACATTTGTGGTCTTCTTGTAGTAATCGATGTGGTGGATGTCACGGGCCAGCCCGAAGTCAGCGATCTTCATCACGTTGTCCTCTGTCACCAGCACGTTCCTGGCTGCCAGGTCCCTGTGGATGCACTGACCAAGCACAGGGCTCTCAGCACCAGACAGTTCCCCATGATGGGATGTGTCATGGACATATTTTAAGAAAATTCCTTTATCATTAGGGTTTTTTGAAAGCCTTTCATTAGGATTTGACCAAGCACAGGGCTCTCAGCACCAGGCAGTTCCCCATGATGGGACGTGTCACGGACATATTTTATGAAAAATCTTTTATCATTAGGATTTTTTCTCCTGAGAAGCTGAGAGGCCTCAGAAGCAAAATGTAAACATTGATTATCTGCTGCTGTGGAATGCAACAGGTGGATCTGGGATTGGTCTCATGTGGATGTTTCTCATTAACGGCCAATCACAGCCCAGCTGGCTCGGACTCTCTGGTCAGTCACAAGATTTTATTATCATTCCATTCCATTCCTTTCAAGCCTTCTGATGAAATCCTTTCTTCTATTCTTTTAGTAGAGTTTTAATATATAATTTTCTTTTAATACAATACGTATCATAAAATAATAAATCAGCCTTCTGATGAAATCCCTTCTCTATTCTTTTAGAATAATTTTTATTATTAAGTTTTAATATATTATATTATAATAATTATATTTTATATTATATTATAGTAATAATATATAGTAATTGTTATTATTTATAATCTATAAAGATTTATTATTTATAATTTATATTTATTATAGTAATTATATATAATGTATTATATATACTATATAATAAAATTATTATGTTTTAATATAATATATTTTAATATACCATATATTGTTTTATGATATATATATGATATTAAATTTTCTTTTAATATAATATATATATCATAAAATAATGAATCAGCATTCTGAAACATGGAGTCAAGATTCCCATCTCTTCCCTTGTCCTGTGACCCCTGCGAGGGACGGGCAGGGAGGGAAGGGTGCATGCCCCAGGCCCAGCTGCTGGGCTCCCCATCCCACCACAACCTCCTGGGAGCTCCTCACCTTCTTGGAGGCCAGGTACTCCATGCCCCGTGCCACCTGGTAGGCACAGGAGACCAGGTCCTTGAAGGAGAGCTGCTCCTCGGGGACACGGGCGGGGTTGTAGCAGTACTCCATGCCCGGGGGCCGCCGCGCCTGCAGGTACTCCCGGAGGTTGCCCTTGCTGGCATATTCCACAATCACATACAGGGGTCCTGAGGGGATGGTGGGATGAGAACGTGGAGCAGGGCTGCCAGGCCAGCCCCTCCAGGGGACAGCAGCTGGAGGGGTGGCACAGGGGACACCTCCTCCCCTCCTCACCGTCCTGCGTGCAGGCTCCCAGCAGGTTGATGATGTTCTTGTGCTTGCCAATCATCTTCATCATCTCCATCTCGGAGATGAGGTCAGACAAGTCCTTCTCTGTGGCGTCGGCTGAAGTGGAGAAGGCAGCACTTAGGGGGTGCCAGGCTGGGCTGCACACTGCAGACCCCAGCCAGGGCTGTGACATCATGCCAGTATAAATTTAATATATCATTTTCTTTTAATATAATATATATCATAAAGTAATAAATCAGCCTTCTGAAACGTGGAGTCAAGATTCTCATCTCTTCCCTTGTCCTAGGACCCCTGTGAACAGCACCACAGGAAGGGTGCATGCCACAGGCCCAGCTGCTGGGCTCCCCATCCCACCAAACCCCCCTTCCCCATCCCAGCACTGCACCCACAGCTGTTGGTGAGCTGTGAGTTCTGTGAGCAACTGCATCTTATAAATACTGACAGTTATCTCTATCTAGTATTGTTTTAAGGGCTACTGCAGCACTGAAAGTTTGGCTTTGCAGGTAAGATATAAACCTGAAAACTCATCTCTCTTGCTTGCTGAAGATCTCACAGCACTGTTTTGCAAGAATAATTTGTTACCATCAGTTTCTTGTATAAACTGCTGTGTAGCCGTGATATTTACTGAAAAATCCTTTCCTTGGGATTTTTTCCCCTGAGAAGCTGAGAGGCCTCAGGAACAAAATGTAAGCAATGGTTATCTGCTGCTGTGGAATGCAACAGGTGCATCTGGGATTGGGCTCATGTGGTTGTTTCTAATTAATGGCCAATCACAGTCCAGCTGGCTCAGACTTTCTGTCCAAGCCACAAACCTTTGTTATCATTCCTTCTTTTTCTATTCTTAGCCAGCCTTCTGATTAAGTCCCTGCTTCTATTCTTTTAGTATAGTTTTAATATAATATATATAATAAAATAATAAATCAAGCCTTCTGAAACATGGAGAGTCAGCATTCTCGTTTCTTCCCTCACCCTAAGCCCCCTGCAAACACCACCACACTGCAGTCAGTTAATTACATTCTGTCCCCTTAAATTCCTTCTCCAGCATCATTTTGCTAAGACATTTTTGCTGCCACTCACACTTGAGCATCTTCACCGCCACCTTGGTCACACGGTTGGGCTTGTCCTTGTCCAGGCCGATGGCTTCTGCCAGCACCACCTGCCCGAAGCATCCTTCTCCCAGGGGCTTGCCCAGGATCAGCCTGCAGGGAGAAGACCCCGATTGTTGGGGAAGATGGAACAGGAAAGCCTTATAAATATGATTGGCTGGCAAAGGATTTTGAGAATATGGAAACTGTGAGTGAGATTGAAATGAAAGCAGCTTTGAGATCCCTCAGTTACTGAACAACTGGAAAACAATGGTGTGGCTGCTGAAGGTGATCCCCTTTTGATGGAACAACACCCTCTGCTTGTAGACAGGCCCAAGGGTCAGAGCAGACCCTGCCAGCTTGGCAGAAGGGCCCAAAGAGGAGTTTGTAGGGTTTAAAATGTAACACAGGATGGTAATGTAATGATTCTGATAGGCTGTATAGAAATGCTATAGATTTATATATTGTATTAGATTGGTTAGTGAGAATCAGAATGTTCAATACAGAAGAAGATTTATGGTATTGGAACGGGAACCTCGCTCTCTTACCCCTTTTACTCTCTCACCCTCTCATCCTCTCTCCCCCTCTCTTCTCTCAGTCCTGCTCTGAGCTGTGCCTGGCAGCTCCCAGCAGTGCCCTGCACCCAGGCCCTTTGCAATAAACCCCAAATTCCAAAACCTGGCTTAAAAAATCTCTCATCTCCGTCCACGCTGACCATCCTACCCCCATTGCTCCTACACCTGATGCAGCAGGGCAGCAGGATGCTCTGGGCACCAGCAGCACCAGCAGCATCCTCTGGTGTAAGAGCTTAAATGAGAGATGTGGGACTCCAGGCAGCTCTCCAAAATGCAGTTTATTCCATCTAAGCGGTTACAGCAGTCCAGGGTCATGGGTGACAGAGCTGTGCCCACAGCTGTCAGCTCCAGCTGCAGGCAGGCCTGGACACCCTTTGGTTTTGCTTACAATGCATTATTTACTTTTCTTTGCTGAGCATCTTAATGCAGTAGAACCAATCTATACCTTAACTTTTATCTACAGCCTATCATAACTACTATAATTACCATATTCATGTTACTGTTCTCCAGTCACTCAAAGTCAGTACATTACAGTTTAAGCTAGAAGTTGTTTTTCAGTCTTCTTGCAGTAGAAAATTCTGAGACTTTTTTCCTACTTGCAACTTTGCTGACTTGTTTGCCTGTGCTATCTTCCTGCTTGGTAAAAACATCTTCTTGTTTGGGGTAGGTTTATCTTTTGCTCTGAGTCATAAAAACTCTTTCTAACTAACATACTCTTTACTTCTTTGAGTGGCTCAGCAATTCTTTTTTTCTATATCAAAACTTGCTTCCATCTCTATTCTTTCATCAGACTCAACATCTAGACATCTTTCTGCTAAGCACACATATCTGTGTGAGACTTTCTTGTCAAACTCTCATCCTTCCCAACACTCTGGGGTGCTGGGCTCACCTGTCCCGGGGCAGCTCCCAGCGTGGATCCTCGGGCAGCTCGTACTCAGAGACACCAGCCAGCATGGGGGTGCCGCTGGAGGAGAGGCGTGAGGGCCTCACCAGCATCACTCCCGAGTTCATGGACGAGCTGGAGTCGGCTGACACCTGCAGGGGGGACGTGGGTTACCTTCATGCAATGCCCAGCCCGTGGCTGGCTGCCCCCGAGGTGGGGGAAAGGGTGATGGGAGCATTGGCACCCTATAGAAGTGTGCTCCCTGTTGATGGAGTGACAAAACTATCCTTTGTCCTGTTAAAGAAATGACAAAACTATCCTCTGTACCCGTAAAGGAGTGACAAAACTATCCTCTGTATCCTTAAAGGAGTGACAAAACTATCCTCTGTATCCTTAAAGGAGTGACAAAACTATCCTTTGTCCTGTTACAGAAATGACAAAACTATCCTCTGTACCCTTGAAGGAGTGAGAAAACTATCCTTTGTCCCCTTGAAGGAGTGACAAAACTATCTTCTGTCCCCTTAAAGGAGTGACAAAACTATTCTCTGTATCCTTAAAGGAGTGACAAAACTATCCTCTGTATCCTTAAAGGAGTGACAAAACTATCCTTTGTCCCCTTGAATGAGTGACAAAACTATCCTCTGTTTCCTTAAAGGAGTGACAAAACTATCCTCTGTCCCCTTGAAGGAGTGACAAAACTATCCCCTCAAAAAGGAAAGAAACCCAGAATTTTCTCTCCTGGATTAGGTGAAAAAACCATCTCATAGGACCTAGGGGACTCAAACTTAAGGATACTACACTTAAGGATATTACACTTAAGGATGCTACACTTAAGGATAGCTAATTGCACAGGAGCCACAAAGTCTTGTATAAGAATGTGCTGGCTGCTGACAGACTGACAAAATTCTCCTTTGTCCCCTGAAAAAGGAGAGAAGCCCAGAAGTTTCTCTCCTCAACTGGGTAAAAAGACACCTCATAGGACCTGGGGGACTTCACCTCAAACTTAAGGATACCCAATTGCACAGGAGCCAAAAAGTCCTGCTTGAGCAATTAATTAGAAAAAGAAGTGAACAAAGAAACAAATTGCTTTTGTGAGGTGTTTTACCTCCTACGCCTGGCTCGGTTTTTCTCTATTTGTTATTTTGCCTTTTATTAAACCTTTTTGTTTCCAACACTGCACCAGAAGCCATCCTACTGATTTTTATGCATCTAAGGGCAGCTGAGCTATCTTGGGTGTGTTATAGACCTCTGAAATCTTATTAGACCTGGCTCGAGGAGGCTCCTGTAACAGCACCTGCCCTGCCTGCAGCCCCCTGCCCACCCTGCCCGTGTGCCCAGCAGTGCTGCTCCCCTCTGTGGAGCTTTTAATTACTCTCCATCATGCTGCAGCCCAAAAATGCACAGCCTGGGAGCTCTCCCATCTCCTCAGTGTGTCCCACACTCTGCTCAAACCTTAACCTGCTGCAAATCCTCCTGGTTCTCCTCATCAGGGGAGGGATGAGGGGGAGCTGTGCTGACTGTGCTGCCACCAGAGGCACAGCCAGGTGGGCACAGGCTGGAGGGGGTGGCACATGCAGCAGGGTGAGATGGTCCCAGTTCTTCCCATCCCTCCTCCCCCATGTCCCCTGGGCTCCAGGAGAGGCAGTAGGTGCAAACAAACCCCCTCTCTACTTTCTGTTACCTGTCTGCGCAGGGGGATGCTCTTGGCCAGCTTGTGCACGGCCAGCTGGCTGTTGAAATCTGTCTTCTTGGTGGTGCTCTTCAGCTTGTAGATGATGATGGTCACCACCATGCAGGAGATGAGGAAGGCTCCGATGCAGTAGATGATGATCTCCAGGTAGAAGGGAGATGTCATCATGGCTGGGGTGTCTTCAATAGCTGGGTCAGCGTGAACAGGGGGTTTTTGTTAGCACCCACCAGGCCCCAGGGAGTGGCACTGGGGAGCCCCTGGCTCGTCCCCAAGCTCAGTGGGGATGGCAGTGCAGCAGGGACTGGGGGCTGCCCCCCAACCCTTGCAGGGAAGGTGTGCAAGCACCCCCAGCTCATCACCCCCACAGCCAAGCAATGCCTTTGCCACTCTGCAGGCAGCCCAGGGCGGGATGTGGTCAAATGGGACAGGTATGAAAAGTGGGGGGACATGGCCTGGGTGACCCCACAGGGATGTGGCACCACTCTGGGGACAGGTGTCTGTCCCAGCTGCTCTGCTCTGCCCACATTTGGGAGCTGCAGGTCCAGGGAGTGGCACTGGGGAGCCCCTGGCTCGTCCCCAAGCTCAGTGGGGACCTTGGTGCAGCAGGGACTGGGGGCTGCCCCCCAACCCTTGCAGGGAAGGTGAGCAAGCAGCCCCAGCTCATCACCCCCACGGCCAAGCAATGCCTTTGCCACAGGGTGGTCAAATGGGACAGGTACAAAGTGAGGGGACAGGGCCGGGGTCACCCCACAGGGATGTGGCACCATGGGCACCTTTGGGGACAGGTTGTTTACAACTTTGTGGAAGTTGTAAAGCTGGTATGTTTATTACAGTGCTGGACGCATGTGGAAATGATTCTCTTTAAAAGACATGCGTACTTTTGGGAATTTCAGGGTTTTTTTAAATTTTTCTTTTAAATATATATGCATGCAATTTTACAATAGGTTTATATATTCATTTTTACGAATTTTGCATGACATTTGCTGTTAGTTCTTTATTAGAAAGAATTTTTAGGTCAGGTTGACTTGCTTTCATTGTCTTTCTGTCTTTTTTTATCACTCTTTGTCTCTTTTTTTTTAATTCCTGTTTTTCACCAAAGTAGTTTTTTTGAGCTTAGGTTTTTGTAGTCAGGCTAAATAGTCCTGTTTTCTAACTACAGATTTAACTTAAAAATGTACATTTCACTTAAATTTAAATGGATTTCTGTTTTGGAGAATTTTTATTTTGTCGGGTTTTTTTTTAGAAAATAAGCAAATTTTTTTTATTTAATACAATGCAGCCAGGGGCACTCCAGTGGCAATGACCTGCTGTGGGAGCCTGGCTGCTGGGAGAAGGGACCCACAGACCCTGCCCTGGTGGCTGAGGGGGTGTTGGAGCCCTGGACAGCTCAGAGCCCGCTGCCATGTGCCTGGTCCGTGGTGAATCTGGCAGGAGGGGGCTGCCAGTCCACCTTGTGCACCCCCAGAGAGCAGAGCCTCAGAGAGAGGTGTAAGAGGGAGCTGAAGATTCCTGCCCCACCTCTGAGCACACCCGGCTGACAAAGCAGTGGCTGATAACTGGGAAAGTTTTGGCTGGGAAGCAAGGAGCACACAGCAGCACCCCAAAAGCTTTCCCACAGCTGTTATCAGGCTTTGGTCCCTCATTGATAGCCAGCAGCAGCATCAATGGGCACGGGGCAGCCATCCCCACAGGGCAGGCACACACAGCCCTGGACAGTCCCACACTGCAGGGCAAGGCCAGGCCCTGGCAGGGAAGGGCAGCACTGCCAGCACCCCCAAACCCCCCCTGGACCCCCTGAATGGCAGCACTGGCCTGGCCTGGGGGTGTGAGACCGTCCTGCTCCAGTGGAGCCAGCCCTGGTTAAGCACCCCAGGTATGCATTGCCTGGGCCAGGGAGAGAGCAGGGGCAGACCCCAGCTGGGGTGCAGGGGGGCACAGAGCCAGGGGACACTGGGGGACACTGGGGACACTGCCCCAGCTGCAGGACAGCCCAGCTGAGCCAGGGAAGGGGCTGGGGAGGGCTCTCTCCCGGACCACAATGCATACATTGGAAAGGAGGGAGGAAAGGAAGAGGAGTATATACCTTCGAGAACTGTCAACCATGCAGAGTGATGGGAGATCCCAATAGAATTACCCGCCAAACATGTATACTCCCCAGCATCCTCAAATGAGACATTCCTTAAGTGAAGCACTTCCATTTCTTTGTCTGTCGTGTTAACACCAGCCGTCTGGAAGGGAAAAAATGGAAGCAAAAAAACGGAGAAGCAAACGACATGAGATCTTCTGGGAGGAGGCCAGAGAGGAGGGAGAGCCCAGTCTCATTTGCCAGACCCCCGGGGAGCAGACAGAGACCACTGCAGAGACGAGAGACCCTCAGGATGACCACTCATCCCGGCCGACCTAGGGAGATGCTGTTAAATAAAACCCTCCACCAGACGGGGAGTCCTGCCCATCCGAGCATGCTGGTGATGGGCTGCATGGAGAAATCACCTCTGCAGGGCTGGCTGGACAGGGATGGGAGCACAGGGACACGACACAGACAAGGGGATGGTGGCAGGAGGGCAGCACAGACAGGGGATGCAGCACGGTGCCAGTCTGGGGTGCCTGGACTGGCCTGATGGCAGCAGCCTCATGTAGATATTGTATTAAGGGCTACTGCAGCACTGAAAGTTTGGCTTTGCAGGTAAGATATAAACCTGAAAACTCATCTCTCTTGCTTGCTAAAGATCTCACAGCACTGTTTTGCAAGAATAATTCGTTACCATCAGTTTCTTGTATAAACTGCAGTGTAGCCGTGATATTTTCTGAAAAATCCTTTCCTGATTTTTTCTCCTGAGAAGCTGAGAGGCCTCAGGAACAAAATGTAAGCAATGGTTATCTGCTGCTGTGGAATGCAACAGGTGGATCTGGGATTGGTCTCATGTGGTTGTTTCTAATTAATGGCCAATCACAGCCCAGCTGGCTCGGACTCTCTGTCTGAGACACAAACCTTTGTTATTCATTCTTCCTTTTCTATTCTTAGCCAGCCTTCTGATGAAATCCTTTCTTCTATTCTTTTAGTATAGTTTTAATATAATATATATCATAAAATAATAAATCAGCCTTCTGAAACATGGAGTCAGATCCTCGTCTCTTCCCTCATCCTTGGACCCCTGTGAACGCCATCACACCCTCAGTTATCATTCTTTTTCATTAACCCTTTGTTATTATTCTTTTTCTCCTCTTAGAAAAGAATAGCTAGCTTTGGTTATCATTCTTTTTCTATTCTTAGCTAGCCTTCTGATCCTAAGACCCCTGAGAACACCAGCACACCCTCAGAGACCCAGGTTCCCACAACTGTCTATCAAATTCTCTTTTTCCATAAAAGAATACAAAACAGTAAGTTATTTACAGAAAGCGTGTGAGAAAGTTTGCTACAAGAATGTGAACATCAGAAGGCTTAGAAAAATCTTAAAAAATCAGGGTGACACCAGACCCAGCAGGCACCTGCTGTGTGCATGATGGGGAGGGCAGCACAAAGGACAGACAGCAGGACACTGGGACACACACACAGAGCACAGCCAGCCCCACCAGGTATTTTTCCATGGTTGTTGCACCAGAAACAGCAGAAACAGGAGAGCCCAGAGTTTTGTCTTCCACCGCCAGGCATTCCTCGTGTTACCTGTGGCCAGGGGCCTGGTGACTGTGAGCCACGCAGACTGGTTGGCCTCTCCAATATAATTGGAAACCTTACAAACATACTCCCCGCTCTCGGCCTCTGTCACATTGTACAGGGTCAGCACCTCCGCATCTGAGCTATTAATCCCCGAGTGCTGGAACAGACCAACAACACGCAGTCACACGGGTGTGCCCAGGAACCCCAGCACCCTCAGGGCTGGCACGGGCTCTGCCAGCCCCCACAGGGGTGGGGGGCACGGGGATGCACACAGGGGGTCACAGGAGGGATGGGGGTGTAACTCTGCTCCCCCCGCTTAGGAGCACAGCTGGGATGGAATCACTGAATGGCTTGGAAGGGATCCCTAAAGGCCACCCAGTCTGACCTCCTGGCACAGCTGCACTGGTGGCCAGCCTGCCCACTGAGTGCCACTGCTGTCCCTGGGACCATCCAGGGCTCAGCTCCCAGCCCCAGAGCTGGGCTGGCTGCCCAGGACACCCACCCAGCCCTGTGCTGAGTGCCCTCAGGGCCCCAAAAGCACTGGGGTAACACACCCAGCCGTGTGCTGGGTGCCCTTAGGGCCCCAAAGGCAACCCCAGCCCTGTGCTGAGTGCCCTTAGGGCTCCAAAAGCACTGGGATAACACACCCAGCCCTGTGCTGAGTGCCCTTAGGGCTCCAAAAGCACTGGGATAACACACCCAGCCCTGTGCTGAGTGCCCTTAGGGCTCCAAAGGCACTGGGATAACATACCCAGCCCTGTGCTGAGTGCCCTTAGGGCTCCAAAGGCACTGGATTAACACCCCCAGCCCTGTGCTGAGTGCCCTTAGGGCTCCAAAGGCACAGCAGAGCCAGCACACAGCTGGCACACACAGCTGGCACACACAGCTGGCACACACAGCCCTCCCTGCTCCCTGCTGGTGACGCCTCTGGGCTCCAGCTGCCCCCAGGCAGGTCCCCAGCCCCAGGTGACTCTGGTGGCTGCCAGAGCCCTGCTCCTGCCCCAGGCACTGGGAGCTGGCTGGGAGCCCCCAGAGCGTGGCTTTACCTTCAGGATCTGCACGTAGGGCAGGTTGTCGGGGCCGATCTTGCTGCCGTTCACCTCAATGTGCTTCAGCCACTGGATGTGGGGCTGGGGGTCGCTGTAGACCTTGCAGACAAACTCCACGTTGCTGCCCAGGGCCACTGTCTTGTTGGCAGGCAGCCCTGCCTGCAGGATGGGCCGGTGTGGGGAGCGCTCTGCGGGACCAGACGTATTTATGAAAAATATTTGATTTTATGAAAAATCGCGGATATATTTTATTTTATGAAAAATCCTTTTGCTGGGATCTTTTCTCCTGACAAGCTGAGAGGCCTCAGAAATGAAATGTAACCAATGGTTATCTGCTGCTGTGGAATGCAACAGGTGGATCTGTGATTGCTCTCATGTGGTTGTTTTTAATTAATGGCCAATCACAGCCCAGCTGGCTCAGACTCTCTGGTCAGTCACAAAATTTTATTATATTCCATTCCTTTCTATTCCTTTCAAGCCTTCTGATGAAATCCTTTCTTCTATTATTTTAGTATAGTTATAATATATCAATATAATATAATATAATGTAATGTAATGTAATGTAATATAATATAATAAAATAATATAATATAATGTAATGTAATATAACATAATGTAACATAACATCATAATATTATATTATATTATATTATATTATATTATATTATATTATATTATATTATATTATATTATATTATATTATATTATATTATATTATGAATAAAATAATAAATCAGCCTTCTGAAACATGGAGTCAAGATTCTCATCTCTTCCCTCAGCCTGGGAACCCCTGTGAACACCACCACAATGGGGCACCTTACAACAGGGTCTGGGCTGCCTGCTGCCCATCCTGGGGGCACCCTGCAGCCCCCCATGCTCAGGACCCCTGGCTGAGGTGGGCACCAATGCCCCCAACCCAGCATTAGTGTCCCCTCACCCAGGAGCCTGCCTGCAGCGGGGTGACAGCATCCAGGATGGGGGACAGGTGAAACCCCTGGGGGACAGGGACATCAGCACCTATTGGGCAGGGTCAGAGGTCAAACAAACCTATGGAGGGTCCTGGCTGTTCACAAAGGGGCTGCCACTGTGGTGAGTCAGCATTAACAAACCCCTTTGTTCACCTCGCTGACTGTTCCCTTCAGTTTGCTCAGTGTAATCAAATTAAATCACATTTTTAATGGTTCATTTACTGGCATTTAGAGCAGCTCCACATGTGGAACTGCTCAGACCAGCCTTCCCAGCTGGGAATTATGGCCAATAAGGCGATTACAAGAAGTTTCTGTCTGGTCTATGAAATTATTTTCACCACAATTAGAAACCTCCAGAACAGGGTGGGGCGAAGCTCTCGCTGCCCAGACTGGGGCAGGAGGCCTGGGATGGTGGGCAAGACCCTTCCCTGGTAGCACAACCCACCCAACCCCACAGGATGCAGCACCCATTGCTGTTTGGGAGGGCTGAGGGTGTGGGGTGAGCCCCCAGCCCCCTGCACTCACCCACAACATCCAGCTGGTAGGTGTGGTTGATGCTGCCATACTTGTTCTCCACGATGCAGGTGTAGTTGCCCTTGTCAGATGGCACCACCGAGTCCATGATGATGCTCCAGGTGGCCTGGCGGACCTGGGGGGACAGAGCCAGTTACCTGCAGCCTGCAGAGCCCCAGGCCCTGCTCATGTTCCACCCCTGGCATGGGCAGGACACCAATCTCCCTTTGAGGTCACCTTTTTCCTACCCTGCAGAGGGGCTGTAATTGCTCCCAGCTGTCCCAGGAGGGACAGGAGGCACAGAGCCAGCTCTGGCCACACAGAGCCAGCTGTGCTGAGCAGATGTTGTCGCTGGGCTGGTGGGGACACCCTCCCTGGTGGCCCCTGTGTGTGCAGGGAACAGAGCAGAGCTTTGTTCCTCCTGCAGGAGCTGCTGCCCTGGCTGGTGCTGGGTCCCCATGGTCAGTGGGGTCTGAGATGGGCAGTGGGCAGCTGCAGCCTGGTGTGCTGCACCCAGGGCGCTCTGTGGGTGCTGCTGACCCAGTGCTCCTCCTTTGGGACAGCCTCAGTGGCTCTGCTGGGCACACAGGGCTCTCCAAATTCCAGCCCTGGCACTGCCTGCCCCAGCTGTGGCTCCTCATGGCAAACCCTCCTAGAGCCCAGCTGGAAACTGGTTTATTTTCACAGTGCTGCATTTCAGCCCTGCTGGCACTGTGCTGGCACCAGCCACGTCCTGGCTGAGCCTGTGTCCCTCCAGGACAGCCTGCACAGAGCTGGCAGCTGTGACGTGGCTGCATTCCTGCTGCTGCCCCAGTCTCCTGCCAGGAGCCCTGGCATGCAGGGCACGTCTGCAGCCACTTGTGACACGTGGCACGTGGCCCAGGGGTGATGGTGGCCCCTGGGTGGGCTGGTCCAGGGCTCCCAGCCTCGGAGCCCCAGGCAGCCCTGCTCCCAACAACAGAGAGATGGCAAAAGGCAAAAGTGCTTTTAATTAATGGCCAATCACAGTCCAGCTGTCTGGACTGTCTCAGTCAGTCACAAGCCTTGGTTATCATTCTTTTTCTATTCTCAGCTAGCCTTCTGATGAAATAATTTCTTCTATTTTTTTAGTATAATAATTAGTTAATAATAATTAGTTTTAATATAATAATATATATATAATATATAATAATATATAATAGAAGATATAATAATATATAATGATTTAATACATATAACATACATAATTATATTATGTATATTATTATATATAATATATAATATATATTATATGTATATATTATTATATATAATATATATTTATATAAATATATTTATATTTTATATATAAATATATATTATATATAATAGTACATTATGATGTATAATAATAAGAATAAGAATAAGAATAAGAAGAAGAAGAAGAAGAAGAAGAATTTTTAATATATATAATAAAATAATAAGTCACCCTTCTGAAACATGGAGGGAGTCAGATCCTTGTCTCTTCCCTCATCCTAAGACCCCTGTGAACACCACCACACTCCCCCCAACCACTGCTGGGCATGGAGGGGGGTCCAGACCCCTCTCCCTGCCCTGTCCCCTGTCCTTGGAGGGGGGATTAGGCAGAGGTGGCCGAGCCAGGCTGGCTCTCAGCACAAACCCCCTCCCCCAGGGCTGAGCTGGTACAAACATGACCCAGAAGCAGCAGCAGCAGCAGCAGCAGGAGGTCACTGCTCTAGGGCCCCTCCCAAACAGCAACGTCAGGGGGACCCATCTGCCCAGCTGGGGTGGTGTGGGTGGGGGCTCAGTGTCTGTCCAGCCCCGTCCCAGTGCTGCCCCTCTCCCCAGGAGCCCCCAGCCCTGCAGTGCCTGGATCTGGGGGCTGCTCCCCCTGCCCCAGGAGCCCCCAGCCCTGCAGTGCCCAGCCCTGGGGGCTGCTCCCCCTGCCCCAGCTGTCCCTTGGTGCCTCTCCCCTGTCCCAGGAGCCCCCAGCCCTGCAGTGCCCAGCCCTGGGGGCTGTTCCCCCTGCCCCAGCTGTCCCTTGGTGCCTTTCCCTTCTCCCCAGGAGCCCCAGCCCTGCAGTGCCCGGATCTGGGGGCTGCTCCCCCTGCCCCAGGAGCCCCCAGCCCTGCAGTGCCCAGCCCTGGGGGCTGCTCCCCCTGCCCCAGGAGCCCCCAGCCCTGCAGTTCCCACTGTTTCCCCCCTCCCCAGCTGTACCTTGTAGCCCCCGATGCGATGGTCAGGTTTGAACTCTTTGCCGTTCTTCAGCCAGCGCAGGGTGGGGTTGGGGGTCCCGCTGGAGGGACACTTGAATTTCACTGTTTTGGCAGCAGGGACAGCGTGGAGCTTCTTCTCCATCTTCTCAGGATAGGTCCAGTAGGGAGCAATGGCCTCTGGGGAGCAGAGGGAGGGCTCAGCACAGCCAAACCCAGCAGCCTCCTGCTCCTGAGACACCCAAGGATGCCCAGGGCAGCAATCAGGAGAGATGCCAGCAGGCAATGCCAGCTAAAGCAGGGAGGGGAGCTCTGGGGCATTACCCAGAGACACAGCAGCCCTTTCCCTGTGGGGAGGATGCTCAGCTAAAGCAGGGAAGGGAATTCAATATGTTGCATATTTTTTAAATAGACAGGCTGATTTTTTTTAAATCCATATCTTAATAGGTCTTACAATATCAGAATTATTTCTTTGTTTGCAGGTTTTTATGTGGAAAAATATTTCAGCTTTTCAGACATAAAGACATGTTTTTGTCTAAGCAATGAAATTTTGATTATTTCTTGTTTTGGAGTTCTGGGGCATCACCCAGAGACCCAGCAGCCCTTTCCCTGTGGGGTGGATGCTCAGCTGCACCAGCAGTGACCCCAACCCAGCCCTGCTCTCCCCACCATGCCCTCGACACTGCCAGGTGCCCTGGGCTGCTCTCCCCATTCCTGGGTGATGCCCATGTGTGCCCAGCCTCCCCCTCCCACAGGGCAGTGCCAGGGCAAACCCAGCTCGCACGTACGGTTGGGCTTGGTGTTATCAGCCTCCTTCTCCTCCGACGAGGAATCATCTTCATCATCATCATCCTCTGCAGAGGGGAGAGCGTCTGCAAGAGAGGCAAGGGCCCTGCTGAGTGCCTGGGTGTGTGAGGGGAGCTCTGTGGCTGGCAGAGCACAAAGGGTGGGTGGGTGGGTGAGTGGGTGGGTGGTGGGGCTGTGCCCGGTGGTGCTGGTGCCCAGCAGGGGCACAGGGATCCACAGAAATCCCACAGAATCCCCAGCAGAGCCAGTGCCTGCAGCCATCCTGAAGAGATTTGCTGTCAGAGGTGACTTTGGAGCTCCTCACCCCACCTTTGGTGCCACCAACACCCCTGGGGTGGCAGCCAAGACCCGTGAGCACAGACACGTCCCCACCTCGAGCATTCCTCCCTCTCCAGCCTCACACTCCATCAACAGCACTGCAGAGCACGGCTCACACCCAGAACATGGCCTTTTGGGGCAGCCCTGCAGCCCCCAACCCTTCAGATAAATATGAGATGATTTCTGGCTGCTCCTCCTTGCCCTGCAGTGGCTCTGGGGTGACTCTGCAGCCCCCAACCCTTCAGATAAACATGAGATGATTTCTGGCTGCTCCTCCCTGCCCTGCAGTGGCTCTGGGGTGACCCTGCAGCCCCCTCAGATAAAGCTGAGATGATTTCTGCCTGCAGTGGCCAGGAAGCCACAGCACCACACTGGAAACTCTCCTGGGCAAACACAAGGTGCAGGTTGGCCCTGAACTCACTGTGTGTGACCAGCGTGTGTGCAGGGACCTGCAGGGGTGTGCAGGGACCTGCAGGGGTGTGCAGAACTGTGCAGAAGTGTGCAGGGGTGTGCAGAAATGTGCAGGGACCTGCAGAGGAGTGCAGAGACCTGCAGGGGTGTGAAGAAATGTGCAGGGACCTGCAGGGGTGTGCAGAGATGTGCGGGGACCTGCAGAGGAGTGCAGAGACCTGCAGGGGTGTGCAGAGATGTGCAGGGACCTGCAGGGGTGTGCAGAGGCTGCCTCCTCCTCGCTTCACAGCCCGGCCCCGTGGCTGCCCTGTCCCTGCTACGAACCTGAGACGTTGACGGAGAAGAAGGTGGTGTCGCTCCCCGAGGGGCTGTTGGTCATGCAGGCATAGAGCCCTGAGTCCTCGGGCACCACGTCCCTGACCTCTACCTCGTCCCCAGTGATGCGTGTGCGGTTGTTCTCGGCCAGCTGGACGCCGTCCCTCACCCAGTTGATGCTCTGCACGTCGTCCCGCAGCCGGCAGCGCAGCTGGAGCAGCTCACCGGGGTGGGCTGAGTACGACTCCACTTCCATTTTTGCTTTGGGCACAGCTGGAGGGGTTAGGGGAGAGAAGAAGAGAAAAAAAAAAGGAGAAAAGGGATAGAGACCGGAGGAAAACCATGCTGCTGCTGCTGCTGTGGCCTGGTTAATGAGGCAACATGCACTGCTGGGATATTCCCATTGCTGGGATATTCCCACTGCTGGGACATTCCCACTGCTGGGACATTCCCACTGATGGGACATTCTCATTGCTGGGATGCTCCCATTGCTGGGACATTCCCACTGCTGGGACATTCCCACTGCTGGGACATTCTCATTGCTGGGACATTCCCACTGATGGGACATTCCCACTGCTGGGATGCTCCCATTGCTGGGACATTCTCATTGCTGGGACATTCCCACTGCTGGGACATTCTCATTGCTGGGACATTCCCACTGCTGGGACATTCCCACTGCTGGGACATTCCCACTGCTGGGACATTCCCACTGCTGGGATATTTCAACAACAGGGACATTTCCACTGCTGCGATGCAGATATTCCTGAGATATTCCCACTGCTGGGATGCTCCCACTGATGGGACATACCCACTGCTGGGACATTCCCATTGCTGGGACATTCCCATTGCTGGGACATTCTCACTGCTGGGACATTCCCATTGCTGGGACGTTCCCATTGCTGGGACATTCCCATTGCTGGGACATTCCCATTGCTGGGATATTTCAACAACAGGGACATTTCCACTGCTGCGATGCAGATATTCCTGAGATATTCCCACTGCTGGGATGCTCCCACTGATGGGACATACCCACTGCTGGGACATTCCCACTGCTGGGACATTCCCACTGCTGGGATAGTCCCTCTGGGACACTGGGGTCCCAGCAGCACTCAGGGGATGGAGCCCATGGCAGCAGCAGAGCAGAGCAGAGGCTGAGAGCTCCCCAAGCAGCACCAAGTGCTCCCCTCTGCAGCAGGACCCAGCTCCAAAGGCCTCACCCTCCTCAGCCCTTAAGGAGCCTGACAGGGCAGGGGATCCCCAACAGGGGAGAAACAGGCAGCAGTGACACCTCAGTGCTGCTGTATGGCAGGATCCAGGCTCAGAAGCATCCCAGATCCCTGCATGGCTCTGCCACCACCTCGCAGGGCTCTCGCCATCCCCACCACCACAAGCGGGCAGCCAGCAAAGCAGGCCAGGGTCCCCATGGCACCAGGAGCCCCAGCCTGGTTAGAGCAGGGCACTGCAGGGGTGAAAGGGCAGCAGAGCAGGCAGGGAGGGAGGGGGACAGGGCAGCCCAGGGAGCTCTGGCCGCGTGTTCCCATCCACAGCATCCAGGAGGGGAGCTGAGCTCCCCGAGGTGAGCAGCACAAAGATCCTTTCTCTCCATCCTGCTGTGACATGATCTCATCTCTCCCAGCCCTGAAGTGTGTAGGGCTCTGTCCTCAAGTCCTGCCCTCCATGGTGGGTGGTGCATGAGCAGCTCTCCTGGCCCCAGGCTTGGGGAAGATGCTGGCTTCCAAATCACCTCTTCAAATTCCACGCCCCATGGAAGGGTCCAGGCTGCTACAGCTCTGCAGGGGCTCCCTGTGATGATGGTGAGGGTGGATTCAGTGTGATCATCATCCTAGACTGAGCTCTACAGGTTGCTGGGCACAGCTCCAGAGCCCAACTCTTCAGGCATCCCTTGACCTCTGCCTCCTCTTCCTCAATAATGCGTGTCTGGTTGTTCTTGGATGCCATGGGATGCTGTGGGAGCTGCAGATGCTCCTCTCAAGGGCTGGAAAATCCCAATACAGGCAGCAGAACCAGCCAGGAGGTGTTCAAGCTTCAGCTCCAGGGCTGAGCCCCCCAGGATTTCTGAGTGCCCAATGAACCAGAAAAGAACAAACTCTGCTCCCTGCTCTGCCCACAGAGCAGCTCACCCTGGGTCAGTGCTGCAGAGTGGCACAGGGCTCGCTCCTCCCTGCTCCTCCCTGCTCCCAACAGCCACTCTGTGCAGCCAAAAATGAAACCTTGGCTCTCCAGAGCTCTGATTCACCGCACCGTGACCTGCACTTCACTTTCTGGCCACTTCTCTTTGCCTTGGACTGATGAGAAGCTTCATGGGAAAAACATTCATGAGCAGCTCCAGAGTTTCTCCTCTTCCTTTTGCTCAGCACTTGAAGGAAAACAGTAGGATGGGGTAGATTCCCTTTGCTCAGTTGCTGTAATACCAATGCCAGGGCTCCAGCTCATCCATGAGAGGTTACAAAACGTTTTCATGTGGAAGGAGAAGAGCAATGGGAGCCCCTTTGGTGCTGGGGAAGGGTCTTGCTTTGCAATCCTGTTTTCCCCTGATTTTCTCCCACAGGACAGGCACTTTTCACAGCTCGTTTGTGTTTCAAGTGATCCATCACAGGCATGTCCAAGGGCTCCCAAAGCAGCAGGGACACCCCATCCTGTCCCCCTGAACCCCTGGGCTGGGTAACACCACATCCTCCTGCCCACCCCGACTCCCTCCTCACACAGAGCAAGGCCAGTGGGCAATAAACAGCCATGAACACCCCAAACCAGCACGAGCCCAGTGCTGCAGCCATATCTGCTCTCATCTGCCCCTTCCCAGGCACCAGCAGCTTCCCTGTGGAACAGAACAGCCCTGCTGTGGTCACTCCTCCCAGCCTTGAGCTCCACCAGCACCCCACAGCTGCGCCTCTGCAATGTGAAGAGGTGTCCTGGGCATGGAAAAGGTTTTTGGAGGAGGGGAGATTGCTGTAGTGTGTTTTTATACTTTGCAATAGTTTTGTTTTTGTATCCCTGTATTTTTCCCAAATGGTTTACCCCAGACTGTACCCCCTCCCTTTACCTGTGTAATCCCTTTCCTTTGCTGAGATCATCCCCAAATCCCCACAGAATTTTGGGAGACCCCAGCCTGATGCCAGGGCTTGAGGAAGCAGCATTGCAGGCTCAGGAGTGTCCCTTCCCAATGGCCACAGGTCCCTGGGTACGCTATGGGAGTGCCACTGCTCCTCCAGACCCTTCTGACCCCTCCCAAAGCTTCCAGCCCCACTGGTTTGCATCAGCAGCATGGCTGGGGCACAGAGGTGTGAGGTGATGGATGGAGAGGGGAGAGGAGGGCACGTGGGGCTGGCCTTTGGTCACCCATGGCATGAGAGGGGACACAGAGGGCACGGTGGGGTGTGCCCCTGGTCACCCATGGCACGAGAAAGGAGGCAGAGGGCACACAGCAGGGACAGGGACATGGGGCAGGGACAGGGGACATGGGGCAGGGACAGAGGACATGGGGCAGGGATATGGGGCAGGGACAGGGACATGGGGCAGGGACATGGGACAAGGACATGGGGCAGGGATACGGGGCAGGGACAGGGACACAGGACAGGGACACGGGGCAGGGACATGGGACAGGGATATGGGGCAGGGACAGGGACATGGGACAGGAATATGGGGCAGGGACACGGGGCAGGGATATGGGGCAGGGACAGGGACATGGGGCAGGGATATGGGGCAGGGGCAGGGACACGAGGCAAGGACACGGGGCAGCCCTGCAGACAGGAGCTGCTCGTGCTCACTGTGCCCCCCTCTCTCCATGCTGGCCGTGCCCCCCAGGCTGGGCACACAGCATGGGGAGCCCGAGGTGCACCCTGCAAGCACAGACAGCCACAGGCCGTGCTGGCCGTGGCGATGGTGACGATGGCAATAAAGGGGCCAACAAAGCGGCGCGGGGACAATGCGGGCGGGGGGCGCGGAGCCGCAGGCGCCGGTTGCCCTGGAGACCCCAGCGGGGCTTTCCGAAGGTATTTCCTGAAGAAAAAGCACACACATGCCCGGCAGCCCCACTAATCCCAACAGGAAGCTCTCACCGGGACCTGGGGATTGGCTTCTTTTTGATTTAAACAGCTCCTCACGCTGCCGTGTCCCCCCAGCCCGGGGGCACGTCCCGAGGTGCAGCATCCCCAGCCCTGCGTTGTCACAGACATCTTTAAGAAAAATCCTTTCTTTAGGATTTTTCCTCCTGAGAAGCTGAGAGGCCTCAAGAACAAAATGTAAGCAATGGTTATCTGCTGCTGTGGAATGCAACAGGTGGATCTGGGATTGGGCTCATGTGGTTGTTTCTAATTAATGGCCAGTCACAGTCAGCTGGCTCAGACTCTCTGTCCGAGCCACAAGCCTTTGTTATCATTTCATTCTTTTTCTATTCTTAGCCAGCCTTCTGATGAAATCCTTTCTTCTATTCTTTTAGTATAGTTTTAATATAACATATATAATAAAATAATAAATCAGCCTTCTGAAACATGGAGTCAGATCCTCGTCTCTTCCCTCATCCTAAGACCCCTGCGAACACGGTCACATATCCTTTTCTTTTAATATAAAATATATAATAAAATAATAAATCAGCCTTCTAAATAATGGAGTCAGATCCTCATCTCTTCCCCCATCCTAAGACCCCTGTGAACACCCTCACACTGCGCATCCCTGGATCCAGGGAAAGGCTGCAGCAGGGAGATGCCAACAGATGAGCAGCACAAGGCACACGTGGCCCTCAGAGTGCTCAGGGCACCCCCAGCTCCTCCCGTCTGAGCCAGCCCGGGGCTGCTACACGCCCTCCGCAGGGAGAGGGGATTTATGTCCTGCTCCAGGCCCTGCCTGCGCCGCAAATGAAGCAGCACTTAATTAACAGGCGCCTTGGGAGTTTGCAAAGCTGTCAGGATAAACCCGCCCCTCTCCCCCCTTTCCCTGCCCTGGAGGCAGCAGCTTGGGGCACAGACACCTCTCCATCATCACCCCTGGGCATGGCACACATGGGGGGCACAAGGGAACCCCCCAACCCGCAGTTTTGGGCTGGCTTTGCCCGGCCCTGGCTCGCTGCTGGAACCCAGTGCCCATTCCTGTGCCCACCTCCTCCTGCACAGCCCCAGGCTGCTGCACACGGGGGCTCCACACTCGGGGACCTTCCTGCTCCCCACAGCCCAGGCTCTGGGTCTTTCCCAAGGACTCTCATTTCTTTTTTTGCTCCTCAATTAAGGGCTGGAGTGACAGCATCTGAGCGGAAAGGCGGGAGGAGGGAACAAAGCCGGCCCTGCAGGCTGGGAGGGGACGGGTGTGATGCCCTGGAGGGCACAGCCCTGGCAGCTGGGACTGGGCAGCTGCAGCAGTGGGGTCTGGGGGTGCTGCTGGGCCCCCCCAAGCTCCGGGAACAGCCCTGGGCTGCTGCCATCAACAGCAGAAGAGCAGGAGGCTGCAGGCTTGGCAGGGAACGCCTGGGCTGCTCGTGGGGCTCTAGCAAGGAGTCAGCAGCTCCAAATGGGATCCCCTGGGCTCTGGGTGGGAGACACAGGGAGCTGCAAGAACAAGGAGGGGCTGGGCAGCAGGGAAATGGGGAGGGGACAGAGGGTCAGCAGTGCCCTGGGGAGCAGTGGGGACAAGCCAAAGAGCCCCGTGGGCTCCCCCAAGCTACCTGGGCTGAGCACATTGCCTGCCCTGAGCGCTGGCTCCCGCAGGGTGCAGAGCGAGACCCCCTGGAGGAGCTGGGGACAACAAAGCCCCGGGAGGCAGGGCCCCTGCTGGCCCTGCAGATGGCCAGGGGGGGTTAAGCCTGTGGCCAGCTGGGCAGCCCTGGGAAATGGGAAATGGGGCAGCCCTGGGCCCCTGCCCCACGGGGAGGGGGCTGCAGCCCGATCCCCTGTGCTTTGGAGTGCAAACACAGCCCTCCAGGGGAGGATCTGCTGCACTGGGGTGTTTTGGGGTGTCCCAAAAGCAGCTGCCCGAGGCAGGACCCCCCCTGCCCCGGGACGCGGCTCCCCAGGACAATCTGCTGCACCCTCTGTGAGGAGATGCCTGAGCAGCAGCTGGGACAATGGCAGACAAGGAGAGAGGGGGGGAAAAAAACCTTGGCAATTTTCTGCAGGTTTCTATTTAACCTGGAGACAAAGAGCGGCTTTGTGCGAGGGAGGGACAGAGGCTGCGCATGGAAATTTCTTGGCTTTTCCCCTTAACCGGGGTTTTTTCACCACCTCCAAATTTAGGTAACTATAAAACGCAGTAAATGCCTGTTAATGTTTTATTTGCTCCAGATTTTTTGGTGCCGGGAGCTCCCAAACTCCCTGGCAGAGCTCGGGGAGGGGGCGGGCAGAGCTGAGCCCCCCTCCACGTGAGGCCAGGCCGCTGGCCGGCCGCGGGGGATTACTCCTGCCTGAGAAGGGAGCTTAGCTGCCTCAGAACCAGGAGTAAACTGAAACCCCATAAACATGCAGAACAAAGTCCGGGAAAGCTGCTGCCTCCAGCACCGAGCGGGGCCACGGGGGATGCTCCTGAGTGCCACGGGGAAGGACAGACACCTTGTCCCCCAGGATCCACGCCCCTGGGGACCCCAAAAGCCCCTGAGGTGAGGTCAGAGCCTGCCCCTGAGAGATGCTGGTGGCTCAGGCCTGGCTGCAGGTCCTGGCCCAGAGCTGGCTCTTCCCATCCCACACGTCCTGCTGGGAACATTTTGTTCCCACCAGTCGGCTCCAGAGCCAAGGGACGGATCCTGCCCCAGCCGGGCTCCTGCTGTGGCACTAATTGGGCCGCCCTGGTGAGAACCGTGTCGGGAAATGTTTCCAGAGGTTATTGTTAGCCCTGGCATGAGGCTGGCGAGGAACCAGCTCCCTCCTCTCCAACCTCTCCTCCTCCTCCACTGCCACCGCCTGACGCGGCTCCCAAACCCTCCAGGGCTCCTCATGCACCCCAAAATTCACCTGTGCTCCATCAGCCTGAACACCCCAACACTTTTCTCAGCGCCACAGCCGGGGTTGGGGCTGCAGGTCTTGCTCTCCTGGCAGCACAGAGCCATCCTTACCCCAAACACTGCCAGGAAACCTCTTCCAGGAAGAGCAATCTCCCGAGAAAAACATGTTTACCACTGTCAACCGCATTGTTTACAGATGCGGGGAGCAGGCACGCCAGTGGAAAAATCTCAGCAATGGTCCCTGGCAGGGAAGCTCTGCCCGGGCTCCCCTCTGGAGCTGCAGCTCCCCAGAGACCATGCCTGGCTCTGGGGTGCCACTCGCAGGGTGTGACCTGGCACCAGGGCACCTGCTGCCCCACTCAGAGCTGGCATCACCCCGGCATCTCCCAGGGGGCTGGTGCAGCTGCAGAGGGGCCACATGCCAGCTGCCAGCTCCCACCCTGAGCCCTGAGGGGACCCCAGGGCACCTCACAGTGCCGTGCCCATGCCGGCCACACCGGCAATCTGCCTCCCAGCGTTCTGCTGGGGGGAAGGGGGAGCGAGGCTTAAAAAGCAGAGCAGTGCCCACAGACCAGACATTCTTGGGTAATTAGAACCAAAAGGAGCGAGTCTCAGTCCCGCTGCCGGCTCTGGTTATTCTCTGCCTCGCCGAGGGGAGAGGCTCCGAGGCGCCGGAGCGGGGCTCTCTGCCAGGACCAGCCATGCCCAGGGCCAGGAGACCCCCTTGGCCCATCCCTGAGCCTTGGGGTGCCCCCACACTCTGCTGGAGCACAGATTTGGACTGCACAAATCAGCCAGCCCCGGCTTTGAGCCCCCACCTTGGGCATTTCCAGCTGGGAGCAACACCGGAGCATCCCGAGGGTTTCTGTGGGGTGCATTCATCCCTAGCACTGCCAGCTGGCAAAAGCTGAACCCAAGGTTCTCTGCCAGGGCCAGGAGACCCCCTTGGCCCATCCTGAGCCTTGGGGTGCCCCACACTGCAGAGCTGAGCCAGCCTGAGGCAAGGAGCACCTCTGGCCACTGCCACCAGCCCTGCTCCTGGGGGACAGCAGCTATAACAAGGGGGGAGATGTCCTGGTCACAGACTGCACTCCCCAGCTCCAAAATCCAAAATCTCCCAAATCCAGAGATTTGGACTGCACAAACCACATGAGCCAGCCCCAGCTCTGAGCCCCCACCTTGGGCATTTCCAGCTGGGAGCAACATCAGAGCGTCCCGAGGGTTTCTGTGGGGTGCATTCATCCCTAGCACTGCCAGCTGCCAAAAGCTGAACCAGTACCTTGCACCCAAATCTTCACCCCCACTAGTGAGCCCAGGGTCACCCCAGTGGGGCCAACAGGGTGGGAGCAGCCTCACACACATGCCAGGTTACAGATTGTCACAGGGAATGACCCCAACGGGGGACACAGCCCCCAGGGCTCTGTACCCTCCTCCAAACCAACAGGTCAGGGTTTGCCACAATTTTCTCCAGGTTTAAAATGTCCCCAGGCACTGCTGTGCCCACACAAACCACTTTGGGGACAACACATGCCATGTCCCCAGAGGCACCAGCTCCCAGGCTGCTGGGTGACACCAAAAGTGGCATTGGGGACACACCGGTGGCCCCACAGCTGAACACACACCAGCTGCAGAGAAGAGCAGCTTGTGTGACCCAGGAGGAACAGAAAGGAGGGAGGGGGGCACCAGGCCATGCTCTTACCTTGCTCGGGCAGGGTGGGGGCCGGCCGGGCAGCGGAGAGCGCGGCTGCGACCAGCACAGCCCAAAGGATGAGGCACCGCCAGGTCCACATCCCACTGCTGCAGCTACTGCTCGGCGACTGGGCTCCGCAACTGCCACTCCATGGGGGCCCTGGGCGGGAGCAGGGGCGTCTCCGCAGGGCTGGCAGCCCCTACAAGCTGTGAAGGAGGAGAGCAGAGTCAGGCAGGGCCAGCTCCCCCACACCCCACCATCCACCACTTGTGATGTTCCTCCCACATCCAGCGCAGACAGCAGGATGCCTCTGGATCAAGGGACATCCTGGATCAAGGGACGTCCCCAGACTGCAGTGGCAGGTCCCCACAGACCCCTCAGCAGCCTGACACGAGCTGGCACTGACTGGCAGGGTTATGTTTCCCTGTGTAAAAGCGCTGATGTGTCAGGAGTGAAACCGCTGGCAAAGCAGAACCGAGTGCAGCAAAATTTCCCAGAATGGTGAGAGAAACATTAACGACACTTAAAGAAAGGGAGATTCTTGCTCTCCTCTTCCTGCACTTTGTCAGATGTTGCTGAACCATGGCTTCACTGAGGGAAATCCCTTACCCAGAGCAAAATCTCATGTTGTCTGTGCCACCCCTAGCAGAGCAGCTCTCACTGCAAACTCCAGCCCCTGCCATTCCCTATAGGATCCATAGGGCACACAGCAGCCACCCCCTTGGAGAGGCCTTCCTGGAGCCAGAGGGTCAGCCAGCTGCAGCCCATCTCTTTCCACCAACAGCTGTTTTTGAAGTGGCTGTGTGGGGAGAAATCCCCCGGCATCCAGGGCCAACTCTGCAACTCGCTCTCGTCCCTGCCAGCTCTCACACTCAGGTCCCCATCCCTTTCCAGGGGACTGCTCCAGAGGCGCAGGGCAGCTCCAGAGCTGGGTTCTGGCACAGCTGGGAGGCCCAGAAGAGCCTGATCCCGCCTCGGGGTGCTGTGGGGGCGTGCCCTCCACGGCCCTCATTCCTCCTTCCCTCTGACCATCCCTCCTTCTCTCCATGCCAGCAGCGTGGAGCTCTTCCAAGACACGTTCCAGGGGGACGCTGGAGCCCAAACCCAGCCGCCCCCGGCCAACTGCTCCGAGCCTGGCGGATGGGAACGAGCCCCTGTGCTCCACCCCCGCGCCACATCTGCACCTCGGCAGCAGCCTGGGATGAGGTCCCGAGGCTGGCCATGGCTGATGGTCCCGCCGGGCTCTGAGAGGAGATCCTGCCCAGCCATTGCACAACGCGCGCAGCCCCGGCCAGGGCGCCGCTGCCAGCGGTGGCTTTCTGTCTCTCTGGGACAGTTACAAGGACAGGACAGGATACCACGCCACAAACCCTTCCCCATGGCACTTCCCAGGGCACAGCTGTGCCTCCAGGCCCCTCAGCCCCTGCCGAGCATCCCAAGCTCACCCAGCTGCTCTCCCCGCGTGCTGTGCCGTCCCCGACCTGCCGCGGGAACAGGCGTCAGGCTGAAGTACACACTGTTAAAAACAGTGAGTAATAATTGTAGTGAGTAATGAACTGCTACTCATCCTCCCCACGCACTCGGTCTACGGAGCTCTGGCCTCTCCTGCTCCAGTGTGAGGCCCTGTGCCTGGAGAAGTGGCTTTTCCTCAAGGATGGGCTGAGCAGCCACAAGCCCCAAAGGGTTTAGATCCTCCAAAAAGCCTCTGCACCCAAAGGAAACCCAGCTGGGGTGTAGTTGTGGGGGCTCCAGTTGCCTCCTTCCTGCCCAACTGCTCTGGCTGGCACAGGAGTATTTGGGACCCAAACTGTTGACACAAGGAGTCGGGCAGGGAAAAGGGCACCCAGCAAACACCGGTGTTATCTCCAACACCAGCGCTCCCAGGCACTGGGTAATGCTTGGAAATAGTTATTGAATGTTCAGGATTTATCAGGGTTTGGAAAGGGGAGGTGGAATTCTTTGAGGGAGGGGGCGGGGGGGGGAGGAAAAGTCTTTGGTATTTCTGGAAATTATTTTCTGTCTCTCGATGGCTTTGTTTATGGCCAGCACATGCTCCCCGGAACATGCCCTAATGCGGAGCGTCTGCGTGGGCCTCCCGAGCCGGCCCCGCGCCGAGGGGAGGGATGGAGGGATGGAGGAGAGCCCAGTGCCTCCAGTTCCTGAAAAATGAGTCAGTGCTGGCTCGCGCACAGCAGAGCCCTTCTCCAGATACACCTCGGAGCGGGCGCCTTCCAGCTGATTCAGGGGCTTGACAGCAGGATATTTCCATGGCGTAGGGATGGCTCGGCAGCACAGAGCTGTCCCGTGGCTCAGAGGGTCACTGTCAGGGAGGGAGGAAGGGAGGAACAGAGGGAAGGGTGCCAGGACCCAGCAAGAGCACACAGGGATGGTCGGCTTCCCAGGGCAGCAAGGGAGGGTGCAGCAGCCACGGCTTTGCTGGAGGGCAGCAGGACTGGGACGCACCCTGCCTGCTCCTTCTGGACAGGTTCAGCAGCACCCGAGGGAATCTCGGTGCTCAGAGATGCTGGAGAGGCAGCACAGACCTCTTCCTCCTTCCCAAGGGAAAAGGGGAGACTGGGGAACCCCAAGACACCTGCCCTCATGACTCCTTGGTGTCCACATGGGAAGGAGGCAAGGAAGTGGGGAGAGCGCTCCTACCTGTGCAAACACCAGCACGGCTCTTTTCCGTGTTTATCCAGCTTTTATATAAATCCCAACAGGAAACCATTTGCTCTGGAGGATGGCAGCTTGAGCAGGGTGGGTCTCTGGCTCCTGTTGGGTGCTGGGCACCATCCCCACTGCCCGTGGCCCCAGCACACTGCAATTTACTGCTCCGGGGTGGATTCAAACAACTAAAAACAGAAGCAGCTAGAGAGGAGCCAGGGCTAAGTGCCCCTCGGAGACCTGCCTCCAAAACTGCAATTACAACCAGCCATTACACCCACGGAGCTATTTCAGAGTGGTGATGGACAACCCTGTGCCCATCCGTGCACCCTCCAGGGGCACACACTCCCTGTGTGCCAGGAAAGATGCTCTCACACTGCCTTTGCACTCCAGTGTGTCCATGAGGAGTCTTGTGCAACCTGTTCCCCCCTGTCCTCAGGGACCCCGAGGGCTGCACTTTCACTCCTCGCATCTCCCACAGCCCTGAGTCACAGGGCTGAGCTGTCCCAGGGACGTGGCACAGACAGGACTTTCCCACTTGCACAGCAGATGCACTCCATGGTTCTGAGCTGAGTGGGGAAGCCCCTTCCTGCCCTGTCCATCTCTGGAATGCATGTGAGGTGCCAAACACAGGAGCTGGTGCTGGAGCAGGGTGTCCAGCCAGGGTTGGAGCCCTGCAATGCTGTGATGTCCGCAGGGGAGCCCTGATCTGATCGCTGGGTGCTGGCTGTGATGGGCTGGCTGCTGCCATGGGCTCGCTGGGCTGGGGGCTCTGCTTCCTTTCCTCTGCCTCCCTGCTGGGGCAGGGATGGCCTGAGGCAGTCACCACGGCTGCCTTGGCACCAGTGGGTAACACAGCAGGCAGGAAAAGAACAGGGACAGGCCAAACCCAACAGGGAGAAGAGTCTGAGCTCAGCTCCTGGTCTGCACAGCACCAGGAGCCCGAGGTGGCAGAGTGCGCCCAAGCAGGCACGGTCCCTGTCCCTCAGGAGGGGAGGTGGTGACTGCCAGCAGACCACCCTGCCTGGCACAGATGCCCCTCAGCTCCAAAGCAGATGAAAAGAGGCTCCTTTTCCTCTGAGGCACAACAAAAGCAGCCCTCCAGCTGCCCTTGGGGAAGAAGGACACGCCAAAGGCACAATCCGTGGGCGGCAGCAGCGAAGCCTTTCCCTTGCCCGGTGCTCCGTGCCCCAACCTGTGGCTCAGGTCAAGAACCAAGTATTTGCTGAAATAAAAAGCAAACACAACTGCACATGGAACTGTAGGGAAAAACTGTAATGCTTAAAGCAGACACATGCTTGGAAAAATAAATATCCAACTGTGCAGCATAAAGAGCATGTTAACCCTTCCCAGCTGGCCGCCAGGAGTTAAGGGCTACCAGGGGCACCTCCAGCACCGAGCTGTGGGCTGGAATCCAGTGGTGGGAGAGCCTGGGACATGGGGCAGGAAGGACAGGGAAAGGCCCAGCCTCACCCACAGATCTCCATAAAACCATCGCAGTTCTAGAAGCATCCTCACACTCAGGGATCCCTCCCTACCCGAAGACTTGATTTTCAGATCTACAGAACAACCACTGGTATCCAAAAATCTATACTGGGATGGTTGCCCTGACTGCTTTGGGAGGAGACTGGTCAAGGACAGGGACACTGGGACACAGTCACTGCCATCCCAGGCAGGGACAGAACCCCATTGCCCAGCCTGGGAGGGAGCTGGATGGGGTCTTCACTACATTGCACTCCTCCAAGGAAAGCCATCGGGAGGGGAAGGACACACATTTGCCATCACACCCAGAAGAAGAAGGTCCCCAAAGGGGCAGAAAGTTGGATTTTCAGGATGGGATGAGCCTCTGCAAGTGGCCCCTTCCAGCAGCCAGGACGGGGCTGGAGACAATAGGGCTCCTGGCTCAGGTTATGTTTTTAGGTGGGTAAATAAAGAGGGAGCTCCAGCTCACCTCTGGCAGTGACCCTTCCCACACAGCCCAGGGCAGGCACCTCGTGTGTGGAACAGCCCAGACGAGGCTCCCGCCGGCCGCCTTCACTCGTGCCTGCACCCTGCCGGGGCAGGGGCGATTTATTTTAATCCTCTCGGAGCAACACAAGGGAAAGGCAGCAGTGCATGCCAGCCAGCACAGGGATTAAGGGAGGAAGTGCTCCTGAGTGGGGAAGATGGCTGCTAGCCAGAGCAGGGGGCTGCAGGGCCCACGCTCCTGCGGCGTCCCCGGGCAGCGCGGGGGGGCTCTCGCTGTGCTGGCATCCAGCATCCACCGCTGGCACCCGGAGAGCCCCAAACCACCGCCTCCACCTGCCCTCCGGCCGGGAGCTGGGTTCACTGAACCGCTTGGGTTTAAACATTGCCGGGCAGGGAGCAGCCCCGGCCCCCCGCGATCCGGCACACAGGGCAGCAACTCGGCGATCCGGGCACAGAGGGAACGGCGAGGCAGCCCGGCATCACCTGAAGGCGGACACGCTCCGTGCTCACACGAGGCCGTGTCTCCCGGCCCCCAGAACTCACAGAAACCACAACCAAAGCGCTCTGCAGCCGATCCCCCCGGGTGCCGAGGGCCACCGCAGCGGTCACCCGCCACCGCAGGTGTCGTCTCCCCGCACTCCCGTGGGCGGACGAGCGGTTCCCGGAGCCCGGCACAGCGCGGGGAAGCGGCGGCTCCGGGAGCCCCACCGGCGTGGACACACAAAGGGAAGCACCAGCCCTGGGACGGCGTTATTCCAGCGCCTCCATTCCCGCTGCCCGCTCCGGGATCCCAAAACTGAAGCACAACCAAATCCAGCTCCTTCTCCATTTTTTTTTTTTTTTCTGGAAGCCGCAAGGCTCCCGCTCAGGTACTTTTCGGGAATAAGGGGCCAGGCAGCGACTCGGAAAACGCCCCCCGATTCCCGCCAGGCTGCCCCGCGGCCGGGAGGGGTTTCGGGCTCGGGACGGCGGGGGCGGTTCCAGTCTCGGTTCTGCCGATGGACGGGGTCGGACCCGCCGCCTTCCCAAACTGCTGCCCGCCCGGGAACGGCCCCGGGCCCCGCAAACCCCCCAGTCCCTCAAGGCGGAGCCCCCCCCGCGCCGGTACCGCCGTCGAGCCTCCCCGCCGGGGCAACGAGGCGCATCTGGGGGGGGGGGGGGTTCGGTCCCGTCCCCCGCCCGAGCCCCCGGGGCACAAAGCGACGCCCCGCGGTGCCGGTGTCGCCCTCCCCGCGCCGAGCGGCGGCCGTTACTCACCGGAGCCCCGCGGGCGGCGGCGGCGGCGGCGCGGTGCCGCCGCTCCCGGGAACAATGGAGGGGAGCCCCGGCCGGGGCGAGAGGCGCAGCCCCGCCGCCGCCGCGCTCACAGCGGCCGCCCCATGGCAGCCCCGGTCCGGCCCGGCCGGCGGAGGCGGCGGGAGGCGCTCCCGGAGCCGCTGCCGGACGCGCTCCCGAAGGCGCGGCCGCCCCGACGCCGCCGCTGCCGCTGCCCGCCCGCCGCGTCCCGCCGAGCGCCCGCCGCCGCCGAACTAAGGCGCTCCCGCACCGCCCCGCCGACAGCCGCGACTCCTCCTCCGCCTTCCTCCTCCTCCTCAGCGGCCTGATGGGGCTTGTAGTCACAGCCGGAGCGCCCCCCCACCTGCAGACCCCGGTGCCGTTCCAGCGACCCCCGGGGATTTGCGGGCGGTGGTTGCCCCGAAGGCAGCGCAGGGATGCTGGCCGTGATGCTGCCCTCACCTCTGCACCCTTGCCCTGCGGGTGTTGCCGGCCCCAGGGGAGCCTCAGGCCCCGTGGGTGCAGTTTGGGGTGGGGGGCTTGCCTGCACCCCTGTGCAAGTCTCGGTCTGGAGGCAGCAGGATGGGCAGAGCTCTGGGCAGCCTGGAGCCCCCCAGCCAGCCCCTCTGCAGAGCAAGGCCCAGAGTGGATGTTTAAAGAGTCCCAAATCAGCCCCAAGTCCTCCCAGGAGCCACCACAGCGCTTTTACACAGGGAAACATAACCCTGCCAGTCAGTGCCAGCTCGTGTCAGGCTGCTGAGGGGTCTGTGGAGACCTGGTGCTGCAGTCCCTGCCCTTCCCAGCTGTTTCCACTGAGGTTTGGAGCAGGAACGTGGCAGCTCTAACACAGAGCTCCCCAAAACCCTCCACATGCACTTTTGGCTTAGTCTCAGCTGGGGCCACACTCAGTCCCCAAGCCAAAAGGCAGAGTGGGATATTGTCACACCAGTGAGCCCAGCATGACTTCTGTACTCCCCAGCATGGAAGGCCAGCTCACAGAGCCCCAGTTTGGGCACCCAGATGAGCTCCCCTAAAGCTGGGCTGGCTCAGGGTGACACGAGTGGTGCAGGGCACCCAGATGAGCTCCCCTAAAGCTGGGCTGGCTCAGGGTGGTGCAGGGCACTCAGATGAGCTCCCCCAAAGCTGGACTGGCTCAGGGTGATGCAGGGCACTCAGATGAGCTCCCCCAAAGCTGGGCTGGCTCAGGGTGACACGAGTGGTGCAGGGCACTCAGATGAGCTCCCCCAAAGCTGGGCTGGCTCAGGGTGACACGAGTGGTGCAGGGCACTCAGATGAGCTCCCCTAAAGCTGGGCTGGCTCAGGGCGATGCAGGGCACCCAAATGAGCTCCCCCAAAGCTGGACTGGCTCAGGGTGGTGCAGGGCACTCAGCCTCCATGCAGGAAGCCCTGTGGGAGCAGTCATGAGCCCAAGTCAGGGCATCCCGGGATGAAGACATCTCCAGTCAGCAGGGAAAGACCTGCCGAGGCAATGTGTAAGTGATTAAGTTATAAGAGGGAAGAGGACAGGCTGAATTAGGCCTGTCAGTCACTGGTGGTAGATTTGAACCAAATGCTGGGCATCCATCCCCAGGAGCAGCCTCCTCCTGCTTCAGGCACCCGTTCAGCTCCCCACGCCAAGACCTGTGGAATATTTCCCTTTCAGATCTGACAGATTTGTGGGCAGGGAGAAGGGGGGAAGGTAACACACCTGCTGGGATGTTCTCCCAGCAAGCTGGAGATGGGAAGTGTTTCAATGAGCCCAGCCCTACACGTGCACAACTCACCCAATGTACATTTAGGGTGCAGTCACCCATGCCCAGCCCTGCCTTCCTCATGGCCCCACACCCAGGAGCTTTGGGTGAAGGTTCCAAGGCTGCTGGGGGACCCACAGCTGCTGAACCCTTCTATCCATGACTCCCACTGGGCTTCTGTCCCAGCCTTTTCTATGCTGGCTCCAAAACAGACCTTACAGGTCTCATGATGGACAGGCTCTGTGGCTGCTGGTCATTTGGCAAGGTTTTCTGCATGATTTCATCAACAGGGCACAAGTTCTTGGGCCTTTCTCAATAAAGGTGCTTGGAAATGGCAGAAAATGAGGAAAACCACCCCCTGCTCCCAGGAGGCTCCAGGATCTGGCTGCATCCTTGGCCTCAAGCATCACGTTGGGGCTCAGTGACCATGAGCTGTCAGCATCTGGTGGCACGAATTGTGCACAAGCAAGTCCTTCAGGATGGACAGGGTGTCACACACACAGCCCCTCAGGATGTCACACACAGCCCCTCAGGGTGTCACACACAGTCCCTGAGGGTGTCACACACTATCCCTGCAGGGCGTCACACACAGCCCCTCAGGGTGTCACACACTGTGTCCCTCAGGGTGTCACACACAGCTCCTGCAGGGTGTCACACACTGTCCCTGCAGGGTGTCACACACAGCCCCTGCAGGGTGTCACACACAATCCCTGCAGGATGTCACACACATGTGTGCACACATGCACCCCCTCCAGCCCCACGTGTGCCCTCCCGCACACTCAGTGCTGTCAGTCTGCCCGCCTCCACTTGCCAGCCCAAGGCCACGGGGTGGCCTTCATCCTCCTCCTCCTCCTCCTCCTCCTCCTCATCTGCTGCCTCCACATGCCGGCTCCCAGCTGCGGCATCGGAAGCAGCAGAATCCAGCACGGGCAAAGCTGAGCCCTCCCCAAACCCAGCACGGGCAAAGCTGAGCCCTCCCCAAACCCAGCACGGGCAAAGCTGAGCCCTCCCCGTCCCACCGGGCTGGCTCCCCCACGTCCCCAGAGAGGCTCCAGTGGGAACCGGGCTGCGGAGAGGGGGCACAGAAAGGGCTGAGCCGGCAGAGGAGAGGCCCCGCACAATAGAGCGGCTCCCCCCCTGACCTTGCCTTCCCCGTGAAAGATCTGCAGCTCTCTCCTCCTCCCCACTACAAAGGGGCTCCTTTCAGCCCCTAATTCTGCATTTAGAAAACAAAAGCAGATGCATCTAGTTTAGGTTTGGAGAGGGGGGGGGGAGGCAAGAGCAAATGCTGAAGAACAAAGAGCTTTCCCTGACAGATCTGACTGACAAAGACTTTGTCAGCTCCATCTCTCCCTGAAAAGGCTGGAGCCCATCAGGGTGCGGGGCTCCTGGCAGGCAGCTGGCGGCTCCCAGCCCGGCCGGCAGAGCAGAGCAGAGCACACACACGTGTGGGACGTGCCCCAGCCCCGTGGGGCAGAGCTGAGTGTACACATATGTGCACTCGTGCTCACAGGGACCCAGCCTGGGGCTGGGGATGGGGCAGGACACGCCTGTGTGTCCCCAGATGGGAGCCAGCACCACGGGCAGGCTGTGCCTGTGTCACCCTCTGTCCTAACCCCCAGGTGTGGGAACCAGGACATCCCTCTGGCTGTCCAGGATGGCCAAGACCCTGGCACAGAGCCCAAAATGCCCCTGTGGGTTTGATTATGACCCATGGAGCAAATTACCAACCTTAGATGAAGATCAGCAAGCCATGACAAATTAAGTAGAATGATAGTGAATTTATCATAGGGTGGAAAAGTAGATTTTAGGGTTTTTGGTATGGGGGTTCAGGAGGCAAGATGGAGGGAACTGGGTGTGTGCAGCCTTTCTCCTTCTTCTTCTTCTTGGCCTCCATCTTCTGCTGTGATGGTGGCACTCACAGATTGGTTTAGAGTAGAAGCTCAGTGTCTAACACAGGTGATGGGTATTGGGAAGGAATTGTAAATATTGTACAGGTAGTTTTTAGTATAAAGACATAACCCTGCCCTGGGGGCAGGCAGAGTGCCTGGAACTGTCCTGCTGGATGGACCTCGGCAGGGCAGGAGAAAGAATTTTTACAGATAAGACACAATAAACAACCTTGAGACCGAGAAATGAAGAGCCCTGACTCCTTCTTCAAGCACCAGGCTGGGAAAAGAGACTTTGGAACTTTTCTTGGGGTCACTGTGAGCAGCAGAGATCCCAACACCCAGGATGTCTTTTCCCACTGTCCCCTCCCAGCCAGGCTGCAGGGTTTGCTCTCCTCCAGGTGTGTTGGCTGCCCTTGGCAAAGCACTTCCCATCATCTGCAACATCTGAGTCACAGAGAGCAGCCTGGCACCCTGCCCAAGGCTGGCAGCTCCGCTCTGGCATGCAGGGATGGGGTTTGCTGATGCCACCTCTAGGAGAACTCGAGCCCCTCTCTCTGTCCAGCCCAGACTTTTGGACCCAAACTGGCTTTTTCTTTTTCTTTTTCTTTTTCTTTTTCTTTTTCTTTTTCTTTTTCTTTTTCTTTTTTCTTTTTCTTTTTCTTTTCTTGGTCTCATCTCAACACCATAACCTCCGCCGCCCACCACTACTTGGCTGCTCCTCTGGGAAACACAGGTTTATAGGAGCCCCTGGCTGCCAAACTGCCCAAACATCATCTTCTTCATGAGGAGAGGGCCTGTTCCAGGACCAGCAGTGCTTGGGGCACCATAGCTGCAGTTTTAGGATACCTGGCAGGAGCTGATTGAGCAAGCTCACCCAGGGAATGCAGAACACCAATGGCACCTTCAAAGCACCCAGCCCAGCTGGTTTTGCCATTTCCTTGGCATTCTTGTGGTATCTCATTTTTAATCACAGCTACACCACACAGCCAATAAAGGTGCTTGGAAATGGCAGAAAATGGGGAAAATGTGGGATGATTATCTACTGCAGTGCATCTCCTGTGCTGGCAGAGCTTGACTTCTGCCCCCCATTGATTTGCAGAGGGAAATTAATGATGTTTGTTTGACATTGCCCCTGTGGCACTGAGGCTGAGCTGCTGTATGAATGTTATTCTGTTCCAGCCCAGCTTGCTCAGGGGCTGGGGTGTTTAATGAGCTGTCCCAGGGGACCTCCAGCTCTTCCCATCCCTGATGCTTGCTGAGGCTTCTCGGGCTCCATGGGAGTGCCCACACAGCCAGGCAGGTTCAGAGGGCTGGGGATGGAGAAAGGACAGGCTCTGGTGCTGCTCAGCTGCCCTGGTGACACCAGCACACCCAGGACTGTCTCTAGAGCCAGGGCAGGGCCAGGACACTGCCCATCCTGTCCCCTCTGCTCTCCACCCTGAGAAATCCTCCTGCTATCTCTGGATTGGCCCCAAAAGATCTCCAGGGGCAGATAAAGGTGCTGAAGTCCATCAGAGCAGCAACAGCCACCTCCTCAGGCTGTTATCTCCTCCTCACAGGGGGAGGACACTCCAGATAAGAGATGTCAGTAATTTACAGCCTTTACAGTGGTGCAGGCACAAGACAAATCTCTTGGGGGTTCTCCTCAGATGAGGACTCTCTCTCCCCTTATCTCACCCCTCAGCAGTGCCCACAGCACCCACACATTGCCCCTCTCCCTCCTGGGAAATGGGGACGTGGGGACTGGTCCCTGGGCCTGGTGGGATCCCTGGATTGTGCACAACAGGCTGGGCTGGTGCAGAGATCTCTATGGATATGGGATTCCCCTCTGCCACTCCTGTGTGAGAATGGAGCTGGCAGCTCCTTCTCTCAAGGCCAGATGCATTTCCCTTTCTTGTTACTGCAAAGATTCTTCAGCTGGGTAATCTGCTAATGGCATTTTCTGCACGCTGTCATTTGGAAGCCCAACAGCAGCTCCTTGCAGAGGGAGAAGGGCTGTCATTATGTGTCATTACCCACAGGCCAGGATTCCTCCCCCACTAACTGGAGCTGGGTTTTTTTTTTCTTTCTTTCAAGTACTACTTGGATGTTTACAGGGAAAAATAAAAAGCCACAGCTGGGGACAAAACAGCCAGGATAAGGACTTTTCCCTGCAAGAGTATGAAGGGAAAGCAATGCAAAACAAACTCAGGCAGGTTTAGCACCTGGAAGGAAGGACCCAAGCAGCTGGGTCCCTGTGCCCTGCCCAGGCTCTGATGGGTGAGGGATCCAGTGGATCCCATGCAGAGCTGCAATGGTTGGCATAAGGATGGGAGGCAGAGAGGCCAGGGCAGGACAGAGGGGTGGTTGTGGTGGAGCTGTGCTGCCTCCCCATCTTCCTCTCCCTCATCCAGAGCCTTGGATCCCCTGGATTTGGGAGTGAGTAGCCAGTATCCCCTGTGCTCCCAGCACAGTCCCAGTCCCCTTTAACTCCAGGAGTTTTCTCCCAGTTCTCAGGCTGTTTCCTGTCTAGACAGCCCTGGAGAAGCCAGGGCTGTATTTATAGAGCAGGGCAGAGAGCTGTGCCCGCTTGCTCTGCCAAACCCACACGAGGCTGATGCTGCCGGATGAAGATGCCTCCCACACGCTGGAAACAGGAGGAGGAGGAAGGCAAAGGAAACCACAGACAGACCCTAAACTCTCTCACCCCTCCAGATTGTGAATGGCTCCTCTCAGTGTCCAGGGCTGCTGGGATCCTCTTGCCCTTTCCTTCACTCTCTAACAGACAGGTGCCAGGAAAAGAATGGCTGCAGGGCACCTCCAGGTGAAGGTGACTCAGTCCCCAGCTCTCCCCAGGGTCCTGTCCTGCCCAGCAGCTCTGGAGCAGGTGACTGGTGTATATATATAGAGCAAGAGCTGCACAAGTGCATGAAAGCTTTTAAAATCTGTCTCATTGATTAATTCATTTGGGCTTAATTTGCTGGGGAGGAGCATCCTCTGGTACTTCCACCTGCCAATGTTTGACTCAATTCACCCTTGTCTTGGCTGCTGAGCTGGGGAGGCATTAGAACCTGTTTTAGCTGATGCTGGAGGACACAGAGCACAGCCTGGCTCAGAGCATGGCCCTGGCAGAGGCTCCTGGCTCACAGGGAGCTGTTGCAGGGGGGTTTGGTGCCCAAAGGGTGGGTGGGAGCCCCGCCCCTCTTCCTGCTCTGAGCGCTGAGAGGTGACTCTGCAGGACTCCGAGATGTGCAAGGCCCCTTCAGCATTGCCAGCCCTTCCCAGCCTCTGCCCTGCAGCCCTGGGGGCTCTGAGCACAGGGAATGAGAGCAACAGAAGCCAAACTGGGTTTCCAGGAAGCTTCCCCGTGATGGATTTATAGACACAGTGCCCTTTTTACAGGAGTTCACGCTGGAAACAAGCTGCAGATGCTCTCCTTGGGGTCTCCAGCAACCAGCCCAGGTTTGCTGCTGCAGTTTCACAGCTGAGTTTGGGCAGGGGCTCTGTGGCTGTGCCCACCCCTCCCAGGGCTGCAGCTCCTGGGGACAGTGCCAGGGAGCTGAGCCCAGCTGGTGGCACAGCCTGGGGCACTGCCTGGGCCAAGCCCCATGCCCAGCCAGGGACAGAGGTTTTCCCTGTCTCAAGCTGCTCCTGAGAGATGCCAAGGTGCAGGCAGAGTGTGCTGGGCAGCCTCAGGGCTGGATTTGGCATGGGACTGGGCAGTGTGGGGTTAGCAGAGGCACTTGATGATCCCAAGGGTATTTTCCAACCTAAATGATTCCTTGATTCTGTGAATTCCCCAGGGAGCTCGGTGGTGGCTAAGCTTGTGTAGCTGAGGGGGAGGCAGGTGATGCTCCAGCATCTCAGAATGCAAAGTGCCTTCCTTGTCACACAGGGGGTGAGCCTGGCTCGGTACCAAAGGCAAATTCGTGCTGAATAATCATGCAAATCAAAGGCAAATTCATGCTGAATAATCATGCAAATCAAATGTGAATTCATGCTGAATAATCATGCAAATCAAAGGCGAATTCTTGCTGAATAATCATGCAAATCTCTCACCCAGGAGCCTGAGTTTGATGCCCCCAGGGGCTCACTCTGGCTGACAGAATCTCTGGGCAAAACAGTCCCTCCCCTCCCCTGGGCAGTTCCCAGCCTGAGGATGCAGCATTGCCTGCTCTGGGGCCCTCCTTGGCCCTGGGGATCACCCAGTGCCCAGCCACAGGATTTTGGGTGGTCTCAAGGACCAGGAGCTCCACAGGTGCTCTGTGTGTGGGGACTCCAATTCTTGGAAGGCGTTCCCTGAAGTATCTGGGGACAATTTGCACCCCACGCCAGCACTTCCCATGCTCCTGCCATGCTGTGAGCAGCTGCAGCCCCAGGAAATGCTGAGCTGCTGGTAACTCCCAGAAATTCCCCAGAACTTCTGTTTGGTCCTGTGGTGAGCAGAGAAGCCATGAAAAGGGTCCCTGGACAGTGATGGGGCAGTGTCACAGACATCTTTTCATGAAAATCTTTTCCTTAGGATTTTTCCTCCTGAGCAGCTGAGAGGCCTCAGGAACAAAATGTAACCAATGGTTATCTGCTGCTGTGGAATGCAACAGGTGCATCTGGGATTGGGCTCATGTGGTTGTTTCTAATTAATGGCCAATCACAGTCCAGCTGGCTCAGACTCTCTGTCCGAGCCACAAACCTTTGTTATCATTCTTTCTTTTTCTATTCTTAGCCAGCCTTCTGATGAAATCCTTTCTTCTATTCTTTTAGTATAGTTTTAATGTAATATATATCATAAACATGGAGTCAGATCCTCATCTCTTCCCTCACCCTCAGACCCCTGTGAACACTGTCACAGGGCAGGGCTTGCAGAATCTCCTCAGAGCTCATCCAGCAGGCTTTGAGGCTTGATAAGGCAAGGAAAATTTCGAGGCTGGGGCCAGGAGCATCCTGCCTGCCCTGCCTGTGTGTGGAGCTGTCAGTGCACTGGGCAAACTAAGGGGATTAGCTCTGGGATTGGAGCCGGTGTGAAAAGTGACTCCCGTTCTGAATGGATAAAGCTGCTTTTCTCTCCTCTGCTCCAGCACCGCAGAAGCACATCCAAGGTTTAATCCCTTCCGCCTGATCCTGCTCGTTAGACATAATGTAATTAACAGGCTGCAAAGCTGCTTGTGCTCCAGGGTCACGCAGGAGAACAACAGGGGGAGAACAACGGGGCATCAACTGCCGCCAGGCAGGGCGGGGGCAGCGCTGGAATTCGGGGGGCTCACCCACGTTGGGGGGCTCCATTTGGGGGCCACACAGCCCAGGGGACACCTGGCACCAGGGAAGGGACCCTGGTGCTGGCAGATGGGGAATGGAGCCACCTGCAAGCCCCGAGGTGTTGTCCCCATTCTGCTGCTGCCTCTTGGCACATGGAGCACCAAACCCTCCTGGGCTAGGCTGGGCTGGACTGGGGCTCCTTTTGGGTTTTTGTGGCTGAGATGACTTTTGAGGTATTAGAAAGTCATTTTTTTCCCAGCCCCACAACCAAAGAAGTCGAGATTTGTCGGTTTTGCTTTTCAAGGTTGTTTATTTTCTCTTATCTATTCCATTCTTTCTCTGTCCAGCTGGTCAGGTTGTGGCACAACCACTGCTCTTGGGGTGGTGTTAATTTTTTATACTAAGAACTATGTGTGCTTTATTTACAATAATTTTCCAATACCTATCACCTGTATTAGACAGTCTGTCTCTACTCTAAACCAATCCAAAAGTGCCACCATCCCAGCAGAAGGTGGAGAACAGGAAGAAGAAGAAGGACAGGACACGCCCAAAATCCTCCATCTTGCCATCTTGAAATTTCCAATTTCCATCTCCTTCTTTCCATCTTGAAATTTCCAATTTCCATCTCCATCTTTCCATCTTGAATTTTCCAGTACCTATCACCTATGTTAGACAGTCTGTCTCTATTCTAAACCAATCCAAAAGTGTCACCATCACAGCAGAAGATGGAGACCAAGAAGAAGAAGAAGAAGAAGGACAGGACACACCCAGATTCCTCCATCTTTCCTCTTGAACCCCCATTCTAAATCCCCAAAATTCTCCTTCTTCACTCTGTGACAAATTCACTATCATTCTACTCAAAGTCTTGTGGCTTGTAAATCTTCACACAAAGTTGCTAAGTTTTTTTATGGACTAAAATGGAAGGCACAGGTGTTTTTGACTCTGTGCCAAGGTTTCTGAGCTCTTTGCTAGGGTCTTGAATCACTCAGGGTAGCCAGAGGAATGTTTTGGGTCTCGACAGGGTCCCAGCTCCAGGACCCCCTTGGGGGCCATGCAGTGACTTCTCCCCCCAAAAAAACAAAAGGGAAAGGTTGGGATGGGCCAGGGAGCCCCTGGGCTGCCCCATCACCCCGGCCCCTCCCCACCTGTCACACTCTGGCTCTGTGGCCCTGCTGGAATAAAAGGCCCCATTTATTTGAGCCGTGCTAAATAAGTCAGCACAGCCTCACTGGCCTGGCTGAAGACACCCCTGGCTGTCCTCGGGAATGTCCCGGGGTGCCAGCTCCAAAGGCAGCTGTGGTGGGCCTTAGATCTTTATGGCCAGTAAAGGGCTCCGTGGCTAATTTATGCCCCTCCTATAATTTACAGCCTCTTTACAGCTGCTGTAAAATGACCTATAAATCACAGGCAACATCACAGTGCAGGGACAAAGCCCCGGCATCGTCACCTGCCAGTTGGCTGAGCTGGGGGAGGGTGGAGCCCACGGCAGGTACATCCCAATGCAGCCGAGCACTGGGAGCACTGGGAGCACTGGGCAGGGCTCCCCTGCCAGCTGGAGCCCCCTTGGCTGTGCCACTCCCTGCCCTCGATTCTTGGCTGCCTGGCACAGGGGGGTCCCCACTGCTGTCCCCACCAGCTGGGCACCGCATTTCTCTTCGCAGAGAAAAGCAAGGCGCGATTCTTCCCAAG